TAAACCTGCTGGAACTGGAGAAGCATAACCCCAAATCTCCACGCTGTGGGAGGGGTTGTGGAATCTAAAGCAGCACAAATGGATACTCCAAAATGAACCATGAGAGGACAGGACCAAAAAGGGGTCACTGTCACTATGGGGAGGCAGAAGGAATTGTACCTCTAGGCCAGAATTCCACACTGAGCCTGGGATGCAGTGCCTCATGGAGCACAGCTATGCCCATGCAGAGCTGCTGCTTTGACACCAGGTTTGTCAGGAGCCCAGCAAGGCTTCTGAGGAAGCTCAGCAGGATCAGGACAAGGACATGTCTATAGTTCATAGAATTTGCTATTTATAACCCTTATCCCCCAGCCCCAGTGGTGTCCTTGTGGAGTATTTTACTGAGTTCCTTGGAACTGAGCTGATTCTCACCCGCTCTGAGCTCAGGCTCCAGTTGATGTTTTAAAGCAGGAGAAGGAGGTGCCTGGATGCGCTTCCAGCCCATGGTGAGGCTGCCCCTGTGTCCAGGTGAGGACATCTTTCCCTGCAGAAAGCTGATTTTGGTTCAAAGCTTCCAGAAGAGCCTCTGGAAGTTCTTTTTCCTGAGGATGAAAATCCCCACCTTCAGGGCACAGGGCACCTCAGGTGTGACCCACTGTTACAGCTTTTCATCAGTGCTGCAATTCCCTTTGGTCCCTGAAAAACACCAAACTTAGTCTGAACAAAACTTCCTCTGACTCTAACATTTTATTTTAAGGTGTCTCTGAGGGCTATTGCTTGGGATTTAATTTCTGGAAGGGATGATTGCCTTGGCTTTAATGCTGCTGATGGATGATGTCCTCTCAGGCTGGAATTTGGGGGAAGGGATTTGGGGTGGGTAGGACGTACCCAGTGTGTGTGGGAGCTCTGGGAGGTTGGCACTGGGAATTGCTATCTGTGCTCCTCTGAAAACACAATGTGCCAACATTTCCCAAGTGCCCATCAGTGGGTTCCCATCCCCGGGACATTTGTTTTACAGATGAGCCCTGCCTGGGAGACAAGTCCATCTTCTGCCAGATGGAAGTGCTGGCGCGGTACTGCTCCATCCCTGGCTACCACAGGCTGTGCTGCGAGTCCTGCGGCCGGCGAAGCAGCAGCTTCCCGGCACCCGGAGGGGCTGGCACCGAGGGGGTTGCGGCACTGGATGCGGGCAGCCTGCCGAGGGCTCCAACGGCGCCCGCGGTGCCCGCCGGGGCTCGGCCGCTGCCCGGGAGCAGCTCTCCAAGTCGGCTGCCTTGGGAAGCACAGCAGGCCGAGCGGCGCACGCCGCCATCCAGCCCCGAGCCCAGAGGTGCCAGCAGCGTTCCGCACTGGAGAGCTCCCGCGGCTGGCAAGACTTCACGGCTGTTGGCTTTGCTGCAGCAGGCCCCTGCCAACAGCAGCAGCCTCAGCTCTGGCAGTGCCCCGGCGCTGGCTCTGCCTCTGGTGGCAGCGGGGGCTCCTGCGCCAGCCAGGACCTCCGGGAAGGGCGAGGGGCCCGAAGGGAAGCGATGGCCTCCGAGGGCCGCCCCTGTGGAACGATGAGCGGGAAGGCTCGTGCAGGACAGCCACGGCAAGGGGCTGTTTGGCACTCTGTGTGACTCCCTGACCTCCGGACACCGCGGAGCGCGCTGCGTGCCCCGGGCAGGGCACTGCAGGGCACAGCTCGTCCCCTGTAAATACAAAGGACAAGAAGTGCTGGTTCACTTTCTGGTGCTCCCGGCCTCCTCCCACCCCTCCTTCCCAGGCCGGCTGGGACACGCAGAGGAAACACTACGGGAACCTTCCTGGCAGTGAGTGGGAGTTGCTGAGGGCTCCGTCCAGCTCTGGGCCCAAAAGTTAGCCCTCACCTCAGCAGCCCCGTGGTTTTGGGCTCTGAACACCCGCATTGCAGGAAATGCCCCACTGCAGGCAGGACCAGGCATGGACACTCAACAAAACACTTGTCCCAGCCCGAATGAACCCTCAGGACTCGTGTCTCCCTGGAAACAGACGTTGCACGAGCACCACTGCAGCTGTTGGGTAAATGCAGGAAAGTGGCATTATTGTAAGAGTTTTGTGCTGTCCCACAACTGTTTTCCTGTATTGTTCCAGTGCCAGGTGCCGGCCATCAAGTTCTGCCATTCCAAGGGCTGGTGTTTAAAGCAGTTTCAAGGTGGATTTCAAGGTGTGAGAGATATAAATATTTCCAGCGTGGATCAGCTCCAAACCTCCCCGCCTGTGGCGCATCCGACTGCAAGAATTAATTTATGTCCATCCCCACCTTGTCCCAGCCCAGCTGGCCGCGCAGTCCCCGGCACGGCGCTGTAAAGTACTTGTGTATAGGAGTGAGAACTGCAGATATTTATTAAAAGTGGGTTTCTTGACAGTATTTTGTGTACTAAATATTTACGCTGAGGGCAGGTGACTTCCTTTTGGCAAGCTTGAATCTGGAGATGGAATTGGAGGCTGTGTCACATGGATATTGGAGCTGCTCAACTGCTGTAGAGAAATTGTTGATCTTATCCTTTTAAAAAGGGTTTTTATCACAGGTCTCTCATTTCTCAATGGTCACCGAAGTTCCATGTGCAATTCTGCTCCCCTGTAAGAAGTCTCCAGGATGGAGCCCTTTAATGCTGTGAGGGGATCGGGGCCCCAAAGATCCAACTCTGGCACTATCCTGGGGGTCCCTGGGGGGAAGTGAGGGTGGCACTGGCCATCAGCAGAGGGCTCAGACGTGACAATAAAACAAACCTTGGCCACCCCGAGGCTTTGGCTGCTTTGGGTCACGTGGCAGTGTCTGTTTTTGGCATTTTTGTTTCCTCTTTTTTTAGCCATTTCCATCCCAGGCAGGACCTTCCCCGACTGGAAATAAAGATTAAATATTTCAGCGGAGTTTTTAAAAGCGGCAGTTTTGCCACTGGAGACTGCGACGCGCGGGGACATTGAGGGAGGGGATGGGATCTCAGCTGGCAGCTGAGCTGCTCCTTACCGGTGGCAGGGAAAAGCCGCTGTGGAAACTCCCGAGTCCCGAAGGCAGCCGGGGCGGGAAGCGCTGGAGGCAGCGCTGGGAACGGCCGCGCTCCGGGCCCCGGCAGCGGACACCGGCACCGGGACCGGCGGGGGCACGGCCCGCGCGGGGTCGCGCTGCAGCGCGCTCCGTGTCCGCCGGAGGGCGCCCGGCGGGATCCGGGCCCGATCACGGTACCGGTACCGGTACCGATCCGGAACCGATACCGATCCGGAACCGATATCGATACCGATCCGGGCCCGATAGCGATCCCGGTACAGACACCGATCCGAGCCCGATACGGCCCCGAGCCTCCCGATGGGGGGAGAAAACACAGCCGGGGAACCCCCCGGCAGACCCCAGCAGGAGGCGAACGCCCCATCCCGGCTCCGGCTGGGAGCTCCATCAGCCGCTTTTGGCCCGCCTCGTCCCGCCATCGGAGCAGGAGGGCATTGAGGCCAGGCTGGGCCGTGCCCGGTCCCCAGCCCTGTCCCAACCCCGATCGGGCCGAGACCCGATACCCGCGGGGAAGAGGCGGCAGCGCCCCGCGAGCGGGCGCGGGCAGCGCTCGGTCCCACAGCCCCGGCCCCGCTCCCGCCGCACCGCTCCGGGCCCCGAGCGTTGCCCGCCGGGAGCGGCCCCGGAACCGGGGTGCGGGTCCTCTGTCCCCCTATATCTGTCCCCTGTCACGTCACTCTGGACCATGATTTTTTTTGGTGTTATTTTTGTGTCGAACAACAACAGTCCTCCTCCTCCCTGACCGCCCCCCCCCTTCGCTCTCGGGAGCGCGCATCGGGAGCGCCCCCGCACCCCGGGCCCCGCCGCTCCCGCCCCCGTGCCGCCCCGAGCCTCCCGACGGGGAGAGTCGGCCCCGCTCGGGGCTCCCGGCAGACCGCAGCGACGCTCGGCCCCCCGGCCCCGGTCGCGGTCCCGCCGCAGCGCCCCGTGCACGGTGCGGTCCCCACGGTCAGCCCCCGACAGGGCTGGCCCCCAGTCCCGGAGCGCGCTCTCGGCCCGGGGCTCCCCGCTCCACCCCGAGGGCCCAGCTCGGCCCGGCTCCCCCGCCCCTGCCCGGGGCCGCCAGCGGGACCGGGGCCGGGAGGAGCCGCTCCGGGCGGGCTCCCCCGGCACCTTCCTCTCCTGGCTCTCCGCCTGCTGCGTTTTCCCCGTGCCCATTGCCTGCTACTTGGAATAGGTGAGAGCTGTCCGACCGCTGGGCGCATCCACATGCCCGGCAGCCAGGGAGCTGCCCGTGGCTGGCAGAGGCACCCGAGCTGGCCGACAAGGAGCCGAGTGGCACGGAGGTGGCTCCCCATGCCGCCAGCTGAGTGGTACTGCCTTTGTGCAGGGCACAATCCCCGAATAAAACCATCTGGAGTGGGAAAGACCCCTGAGACTGATCCCGGTCAGCTCCTGACCTTCCTTCTCCCCTTAGTTTGGTGATTGAGGAGATGGCCTCCAGTTCCCTCAGGAGCAGCAGTCCCGGGGCCGTGCCCACCCCAAAGCAGCCGCAGCCCAGCTCTCCCCCCAGGCGCCTTCACCTGCCGGTGCTGCCCCGGGTGAGCTCGGGGCTGGCAGAGCTGTGCCAGCGGGGATGCAGCGGGCACGCAGCTGTGGGCACTGCTAACGCTGCCGCAGCCAGAGAGGCTCCGATGGCTGCTGCTCCCCTAAGCCCTCCAATGGTTATTCCTGGCCAAAAGACACGTTCGGGAAGCAAAGCAGATCACGGCAAGTTTCAGCCCAGAAACCAGAGGCTTTATGGAGAAGCCCAGGCACACTGGCCTTATCCTCGCTGTGCGCAGGCGACAGGAGGTGGACAGAGATGCTGTGCCACCCCCAGGACCTCTGGCCGCTCTCCAGATCCAACCACTCCTCCAGATATCCCAAAATGCTTCAGTATGTCCAACACGACGGTGTCAGGGAGCCCCTTTTATCACCAAACTCATTCTGGGATCTCAGTGCAATCAGACAAGACTTGGCACATGATGAGGGAAAACAGACATGCACTCTCTCATAAATGCATAAAGTTACTTTATTTTCAGTATACATTTATTTAATTTTGAAAAATATAAATGCTAAAATATCTCATCATCTTCATCTTTTGATTCCATAAAAGTCACAATAGAAAGCTTCATAAAACTGTAAAATACTATACTGTTATAAGGAATTTCATTTTTTATATTACTGGAAAAAAAAATCACTTTTAATACGTTTGAAATGTTTTCTGCTTTTTTCCTTTTAGTTCCACCATCCGATCCACTTCACTTCATCCTAAGTCCTTGCTCTCTCCTCCAAAGAAAACAGGGACTTAGGAGAATTCAAACCAAGCACAGAAGTATCTGAAAGTGCGACTGGATTGCGATGCAGCCAGGAAGGTGCAGCCGGGGCTGGCACAGAGCTGGCCATGCCCAGCGCGGGCTGGGACCTGGCATTCCCTGGGGATGTCCCGGCTGCTCCTTGCCTCGGAGGCCTTTGGGTCACTCTCCACACTCAGTCCCTGAAGTGCCCCCCAGGGTTTTCTGCCAAAACACCTCATTTGGATTGCAAGGACGTTCCAGTTATTCCCCAAGGCATGTGGCCCTGTGGCCCGCAGAGAGCCCTTCCCTGTCCCTGCAGCTCTTCCCTGCCGCCGGAGGCGCGTTTCTCACGCACAGCCAGCCCTTTGTCCCGTGGGCACACCACAAAAAGCACAACACAAGGAGAGAGAAAGATCTGGAACAGCAGTCAGGACACTTCAAGGATATTTAACACGGTTCAGAGGTGGAGACCTGATTTTTGGGGAGACAGGTCACCAGGCAGCAGCAGATGGAAGCTGTGCCCATGGAACCGACTGGGACAGCCCCTGATGGCAACTCTCCTCTGGGACTGCTGCACACCCACGGTCTGGGCAGGATGGGCAGCAATCCCACGGGCAGCTCCTGTGCACTGCAGCCTGTGTCCCCCCTGTGTGCCAGGACTGGTGTTCGCCGAGGGATGGAGAGCACTGGCCACAGCTGGCATGGCGCTTCCCAAGTTACCTGTGCTCCGGCAGCAGAAGGGATCCCGGAGCTGTTCCTCTCCAGGCCTTTCCCAAGTCTCCCCAGCATTTTCAGAGCAGGTTTCAGCTGCGCTCCTGGGATGCCCAACACGGATTCCATGGAAACGGAAGGGGAGACCCCTCGAGGGTGAGCAGGGCTGTATGGAGGCGGTGGCTCCTGTGTGGGAGCAGATGCTAAAATTTGGCATTTAAGGTCTCAGCACCATCAGAAAATCCTCTTGACTTCACCAACCCAGACTTTGGTTTCACAAGGACCAGGTGGCAGCATATGCCCATCCTCTGTGATGGGATTGTCTCCATCAGGGAATTCACCTCGAGAGCTGGGGTACTTTTACTTCTTCTTCTGTTTTTTATTTTTGGACGAAGCTTTTAGTGCATTCCCTGTGTCCTGGTGAAGCCCAAACGTGCCTGCAGATGCACATTCCAGCATGAACATGCTACAGAGAGAAAAACCTCTCTCCTGATGCGATGTTCACTCGCTTGGCTCCACCCCAAAATCCTGGGATGCCCGTGCCTGGCCTGCTTAGCCTTGCTGCACTGCCGGGTTTAGGGTGAGCTCTGTAGGTGGCACACAGGGGTGGGATGCAGGAGGAGGGGGATGTCTGTGAATCCGAGTGTCAGGATGGGCATCCCAGCAGGCCACCTTCATCTTCCTCCTCGTGCACTGTGCCTGAGGCACACCTGGGGTCTTCTCACTGCACACACCGGTGCTCCAAGAAAGTCACGGAGGGATCCCACGTCAGAAATCAACAACAAGGATATAACCAGCACCTGTCCATTTAGACTCTTCTAAGATCACAAGAGATTTAAGTCTCTTTCACAGCAGGGACTGCTCATGACAAAAACTCCAAAAACCAACTTAACCCTAAGAAAAACAGATGCTTCGGAGCAGGAGGTGCTAATTGAACTTATCCAGCCCTATGCCACGTCCTGGAGATGGTGGTGTGATGTCGTGGGTTTGTTTTTTGTAAAAATCACATTATATATGGTACAATACATTTTTTACAGAAAGCCTGGCATCTAGAAATAAGAGGTAGAACTACTCATAACTATATGTTTCCTGCTGCAGGAAAAAAATTCATTTTTTTTTACAGTAATTAAAAAAAGGTTAAAAAAATTGTCAAAAAAAAAAAAAGTCATAGGTTAGGCCCCCATAATTTAAACAAAATAATCTAGGAAAATAACACTCTTCCATGTACCTGAAGGATTAAGTCCATTAAAGTGTTTCTTTAAAAAAAATTGCATAGGAAAGGGACATTTCCAAACATGCTACAGCGATGGCAATGGTCTGTCTGTGCCGGGAGTGAAATACCTTCTCTTTTATCTACAGGTGAGAGCACGTGAGGATTAGCAGCACGTTCCAGCAGATATCGGGGAGCAGCCAAGAATCAGCCTGGAGGTCAGCTCTGTTCTGCCAGACAGCGGCTGACAGCAGCCAGTGCCTCTGGCGCTCCCGCGGGGACATCCCAGTCCCGGGCAGCCCGGCAGGGACATCCCAGTCCCGGGCAGCCCCGCAGGGAGGGGCAGCGGGGGCTCGGTTACCTTCGCTGGGGGGAGCAGGGAGCTTCTGAACATTTGGCTAGTAACAGAATGAATTTGTAAAAGATCAGACAGACAGACAAATTACAAAGTAGTTTCTGTTCCCTTGCTCCTCCAGAAATAACCATTGTCTTCAGGCTCAAGTTCTATTCTAATTTGAGGCACAACTTTTACTGGAGTTCGTGGAGGGCTGCAAAGAAGAAGACAGACGAGGTCAGAGCAGCACAAATGCTGGGCCTTGGGAATACAGCCAGGTTGAAGGTAAGGCCCCCACACAGATAATCTGAATGAGCTGGTCAGAACACTACTTGGACACTTCCAGGGTGGAGCATCCTGGTGCTGCACCCCAGGCTGTGCCAACATCCCTCGACTGCCATTGAAAAAATCCGGGCAAAGCTGCTGGGATGAATTTCAGTGCGTAACACCTGTAAGCACAGACACATCTCTGGCATTTCAGAGGAATAAACTTGCCTTGCTCCACATCACAGTCCTGGTGCTGGGAGGGCCAAGCTGGCCCCAAAGGACTGGACTCTGAGCAATTATTACTTGCTGCAGTTTAAGATTATTCTTTGCTGTATTTTCCACCACAGATATGGAAAAATGGATTATTTCCCCTTGGCAAGAACCCTCTGGGCTCCTCACAGTACCCCCACGTCTTTCTCCTGGTCTGATTCCCAAAGCAGCAGCCAGGAGGCCAGTGGAGCCTTCAGGTCTCACAGGTTCTCCACTCCCCATCCCAAGTGCTGCCAGGGGCTGGAGTAACTATGGAATCAACTTGTTCATGATGACCTTGGGAAGCAGCCACCCGGTGCAGGGAACTTTGCTGTGTTTTGAGGGGGAGCAGAGGTGCATTTGTGGGTGCTTACCTTGGCATGGCGTGTGATTGAAGGAAGGGAATTGTATCAGCACGATGTGTGGCGTTCAAGGAATGTTGGTGATTTTTCTCCTGGGGGAAGAAAGCCTCGGTGTCACTGCTGCCTCCAGCCCTGCCTCAGCTCCTCCAACCCACCCCCATGGGCCAAGCCCTTTTCCTGCCAGCTGCCAGACGGATTTACAGCTCCTTGAGGAAACACTCCATTCCCTGCTGTGCTCAAGGTAAAACCCCTGGGGTGCCAACACTTACCTGCCACCTGCCCCCGGTGACCCCACGCTCCCCTGGCACCCCCCAGCTCCTGTGGAGAACCTTCTCCCTCCTGGCCCTGGGGAGGCATGTCCTCTGGGAGTAACAGTTCCATCCCTGCTCTTGCTGCAGCAAAGCCAGGGGTGGTGGTACTGTCAGGAACGTGCTCTGGATCGCAGAGATACATTCAAGCACAATCCCACAGTGCTGCTGCATTCCAGGTTTGGTTTTTTTGTTATTCCAATGACCTGATATGATTTAATTTTTATTTTGCATTGGTTTTAATTAGAAACCAGCAAATAAAATACTGGATTATAAAAATGTATAAATAGACAAACCAACTACAGCTCAGCCCATGGCTGATTTTCTGTGTTCTATCTTCAAGGGCATCCCAAAAACCAGGCTGATGGCACAACTACCTTTCCCTTAACTATTTTAGCCCTTAGGATGTTGGAAAAAAGGCATCTGATCCTGAAATCCTGAGTAACAATATTTAGGATGCAGTTTGTTTTTAGTATCAGGACTGTACTAAAAACATGGAATGAGGAGGATATGAGGTTGCCTGTGGCTGATTTTGGATGACATGCTGACATCAGCAGAACACTGAGGATATCCAAATAGCCAAGACAACGCCTCCTTTCCAATGGTTTTATTTTATAATCCAAATCTCTGAGTGTTTCTGTATCTAAAAGCCTCAGGGTAAGGTTTGCCACTCCCTGAAAAGGAAAAGAACTTGGCTCCCAGCTCCTAAGACCGATGGATAATTTAAGGATCTCAAGATCTGGGGGTCTAGGTCCTGCTCCTAGGAAGCACTAGCCAGGCAGTGGCACTAATTTATTTGGTTTGTACTTCTCCCCTCCCACCTCAGCAGAAAAGGGCATATGACACCCTTAGTATGTTAAAAAGCCATCCCAAAGGCAAAACCACCAAGGTCAGCTGTGATTCCTCACTTAAAAGAGGAAAATGTAAAGTGGGAATGACTGAAAATAAAGATTAAATTCAACAATTACAGCTATTAACATCAGAAATGAAAACCTAAAAGAAGAGCACAACCACCGAAGAAGGGAAATATGTTAATGGCCAACTGATTTCTGCCTGTGCAGTTTAATGACACAAATAAATAATTACTCTGTTAAATGCTGATTTTTGCAACTGCTTGGCACCTAAGGGAACAAACAGTGACAGGACAGCGCTGCAAATCCAGAACACCAGGCTCAGTGGAAAAAAAAAATAAATCCCACTATCAGCAGGTTAACACCAAGGGGGAGAGGGAGAGGAGAGGAAGAGAGAGTGGGTGGCCAGGAGACCTGTCAGGAGCTGGAGAGAAGCACTTAAACTGGAGGCACCAGAAGGAGCAACACTGATTTTGTAACCAGCAAAGGGAAAAAAAAAAGCTCACAAAAGCAAAATCTGTCATAAAGCAGGGGCCTGGAAATTAAAAACGAGAGAGGAAAAAAAAAAGAACAAGAAAATACTTCTGAAGTAAAAGGAAAGATTAATTTTTAAAGAAATCACTCTAAATATACAGAGATATATTTTGGTAGTGCAAGTCAGAGTCAAGCAGGCATGCAAGAGCTTAGTTCTACTCACTGTCAGCAGGTTTGCTATCACTTAGGAAAGGTTCCTGCTCCATGATGTCCATTGGTATTTTAATACTTGGGACTTTTTCTGAGTAGGGGCAGTCAGACTGTGAAAGAAACGTGTAAAAGGTCTTAGAATATTCCCACTGCTCACTCTCTCATCATCTCCACACATTAAAATTATCCTTCACATAGTTCTGTAGGAACAGGTAAAAGAAAAGAAAAAAGCATCCTCCAGCTTAGCTGCCAGATGGATTCCACTTGTTCACCACTGCACCCCACTTCCCTTAATTACCCTCATACTCCAAAAATAAAACAGAAAAGAGTCATCTTGTGGGATTGTAAATTGCAATACATCTCCTCCTTTCCCACCCCATGGTCTTAAAAGACACCATCCCATTGTGCCTGCAGGAAACAGAGATGGAAAATGCATTTGTGGGCAGACACAGCAGGGCCCTAGCTGCTGGGAAAGCTCCTCCAAACCCTTCATCCTGCTGGGGTTCTTGTAAAAGCCCTTGCTTGTTCCCAATTGATCCACAAGGCCCAGATATGACATGGCAGAGGCTCCTTACATCAGGCTGGCTCAGCTCCCTCTTTAATGCAAGTGGAGTCAAACCCAGTCCCAGTTACACCTCTGCTTCATCAATTCCAGAGCCCTTGGAAGAATTCTGTAAGCCTGGCCCAGCCAGAGAAACAGCAGGCAGCTCAGGATGGGGTTCCCCAGAGCTGGGCACCCCACTGCCTTCCATCACCCACCTGCTCCTGCTTATTAGGAGGTGCTTGGAATTGTTTGGCTTTTTGAAAAATAAAGGGAACTCCTCATAGCTAAGGAAAGGCTGTTACTGCCTAACTTGGCAAAGGCAGGAAGGTGGGATTTGCCAGAAACGTTGGGACATCTTTGTTCCTGAAGAGAAGCAGAACCACAACACCAGGGTGGAGGGAGGAGACCTTCCAGTCAGGGCAGGAAAACACTAAGAGGCCAGAGACTGGCTCTCCCTAGATTGTTATTGTTATTTTTCATTTATTTTTTTAACATAACTGATATCCAGTGCCTTATTTCATACTCTAACATCAAGATGTTTCCTCGGGACTATTTTCATGAGGCCGAGGGACAAGCATAACTCAAATAAAGCACAAGCAACACCCAGCAATTCCCTTGGCTGAACTCGGATCCATGCATTGCCCCCCAGATCCCACAGGATTAGCTCTGGGGGTGGATGTTTATGGAAGGGAAAGTGTGAAAATAATCCAACCAGTAATGCCCAGTGCTGTATGTTCAGGAAGCTGGTAAAAACAAGTGCTGAAAAAAACCAGCAGGAGTTAAGAACCAGTATTTTGCATAAAATGTCTTACCCATTAGATTAATTACTGTACCTGGAATTCAGGAAAAGCTTGGGAAGAGAGGAAATATCTTAGAATATACAGGAGAGCGGGAAGCCATGGCTTGGGACACGCTGCTGGATTCACAGCAGCCAGGAGGAGGGGATGGAGTCCAACCTTTGCTGATTACTCAGCAGGGCCTCTTTTACTCTCATTTGGGTTTGCTCAAAGGTGGTAAAGAAAACCCTGGGAGCTGGAGCCATGATGGGACAGGGCAGCTTGCTGTCTGACCTAAAAGCCAATCCTCCCAGCTGCTTTTCCTGCTGTGCTTAAATGGGATTCTCTTCCAGCTTCAGGAGACCTTACCTCTCCCTATAGCCCAGGCAAGGCTCTTCTTTATGGATATGAGCAGAAGAAGTGACACCATGCTTAGAACTCACCACAGAGTGTATTTAGCACTTCAACATAAATTTTAAGGATTTGAGTTAGACCTGAGCAGGAGAACATTTAAAGGCACCAAGACTACATTTCTTCTTCTTATATATACAGCATGAAAGAGAACAGTCAAAGGCACATGAGTCTGGTCTAGCCAGGTCACTTTTCACTATTTAGGGCATGCTGTCACCTGAGGGAGGACCAGAGTGTACTGCAGAGGGCACGGATGGAAACATGTAGGTGGTGAGTTTTACCAACACCAAGCAGTTTTTCCTGCAATATCACAAATCACATCTATTTTGTGCTTTCCAAAAGAGTCATTACAAAAATATTTTAAAAAGACAACCAGTAGGACCGAGCTGCTGGTGAAAAGCATTCTCCTCCTAAAATGTAAGAGAGAACGAAGGGGAGAAAGGCGGAGGAGGGAAGCTGGAAGAGGCAGGGTGACAAGAGGCATTCTAGCAAGGGGCATGACATCTCAGCAGGTACCTGGTGCTCTTGGAAAGTATGACTTCATCCCTAGCAATGCACAAACCACCTACCACAGGCTGGAAAAGGGAAGGCAGTATAGAAATTAAGTTTCCTTTGGGACTCATTTGTTGCAGCAGAGGAAGACCGAGCTGTCAGCTCCACAAGTGGCTGGCAAACTTCCAGCCTCAGCACTGGGCAGGGCTGTGTGGGGAGTTAGCTACCTAGGAAGGAGCAAGGTGACAAGAGTAGGAAGCTCCTTACATCATCATTGTCACTGTCCATACTGCCCTTCTTCTTTTTCTTCTTCTTCTCATCCTCTTTCTTCTTCTTGTCCTTTTCTGGAATGACGTCGTCAAGAAAGCTTAAGTCATGCTGGGAAAAGAGGTAGTCCATGGCTTTTCTGACTGCCACCAGGGCCAAGATCTGCAAAGGCAGAGAGGGATTCCCAGTCACATTTTACCTTTCACTTGGCACACTGCATTCCTCTCAGTTCTGCTTCTAAGCCCACACTCTTGAATTCTGGCTGTAAATGAACATACAAAGAAGGTGGTGAACACCTGGGACATCTCTGTCAGCTTAAGAGGTTGTTGCTGTGACTGCCTCATGTCAGAAAAAATCAGAAGCAGTGGATACTCCTGTATATAATACTCCTGTATTAGGAAATAAATAGCAAAAAAGAATTAGCACTTTCATTTACTTTTGGAGGCAGGTTCACAGGACAGCCTGAGTAATAAAACCCTGACTTATTTCTCACCACTTGCCCAGCTGAACTCTTAAGAAATCAGACAAGTGCCAGTCCACGCCTCCAGAGTTTGCAAAATAAAGTTTACTGGGGTTGTGGCAGCAGGAAACTGGAGTAAAAGCTTATTCTGTGCAAGACTGCAATGAAAGCACTGGGAAAAAAGGAAGGGATGTGTCTGAAATGGGGCTTACACGGGCGCTGGGTCTGACAGCCCCAGCAGAAGCCACTGAGATCCCACACAGGCTTTGCCCATGGGTACAGCAACAGGCTGGAAGCTGTAACCTATTCCCAAGAGGCTGCCTTTAGGGACAGCTTTGTTCCAGGCAATCATGATCCACAGCACAAACAATTCCCAGGAAAAGGTCTCAAGCTCTGACTTGCGTAAGCTAAGACGCGATTACGGACGTGAGGAATTCCTCCGGGGAGGAGGGATGCCACGCAGACACCCGTGACATCCTGCTATGAATTACTGTGCTGAAAATGCCTTTCCTCCAAATAAATAGGGACTTGGCCCTGGCTGAATCCTCACAAACTGAAGTTTGAGTTTTGTGGTCATGAGTGCAGAAAATTGAGTTTTTGCCATCCTCAGGTTTCACTCAGATTCTAACAGGGACAAAGAGATTTTAGATTCAGCTTCCAGCATCAGTGCAACACAGCCATGGAGTTGATGGAATGCCACATCAGTGGGAATAACTGATTTTTAACATCTTTCACAGGAGCATGTGTCTCAGCAGGAGCGTTTGGAGGATTTTTTTAACAGGCATCATCGTTTCTCACTGCACCATCTTGTTCTTTACCTGGCTTCTGCCCTCCCTCCTCCTCTCCCTTAAAAAACCACTGCAGCTCCTACCTCCCCCTACAACTCAGATTTTACTTGTCCATAAACCTGAAATTAGGTGACCTGGGACCAAGATTTAGGAGTTCCATAAAGCTTTGCCTTTGCACAAGTCAGACCCATCTCCAAGCCAGAGTGCCTAGCTGTGTCTACAGATCTAGTAATAATATGAATAGTCACCCATAGATGGTAAGCAACATTAGTGTCTTTTCACTTGAGTCCAAGGAAAAGAGACATTCCCTTTCCCTCCTTTTGGCACCTCTCTTAGCACTAAGCCTCCTTCTTGGTTTTGTCAATCTGTGCTGTCTGAAAGCCAGGAAGACATTTTGCACCTGGACTAAACCAGAAAAACTCTGCCCCTCTCTTTGGTTCATGCAGTTCAAGGAGAAACCACAGCAAATCTAACCTTGGCAGCCAGGAATGGTCAACACTAACTACAACTTCCTGGGAAAAAATTAACTTTCCAGGCTCGTTTTCCTCCAGAGGATTTAAGGAAAGGCAGCCATGGCCACACTGAGCCCATGCAGTCCTACATGAGTGCCATGAGAGGAGCTGTGAGGCAGGGACTGGCCGGGGAGAGGCTGGATTTACACATTCACAGGAGTGTACAAGAGGGGAAGGAGCAGGCAGTGAAGGAGAGCATCACCTACCATGACAGGGAATATGATAGCAGCCACGGTGGATTTGAGGATCCAGAGGAGGGCCAGGCACACCACCTGCAGGAAGGTGAAGAGGTGGACCCTTCGCAGCGGGACGTGGCGCAGGTAGATGAAGTCAGGCTGGTGTTTCAGAGGCATCAAGAGCAGCTTCAGCCGATCCATGAACTGGGAATGAAAATAGAGAGATGTTGAAATGAAACCCGGGATGCACAAAAATGAGAGAAAACAAGATGAATGCCCAAACCAGGGTCAACACCACACTCTGGGGCATTTTTGCTGTCCTCCCCTTCCCTGCTCCTGCCAAGGAAAGACGTTCAGCCTTTAGGAACAATGCTTTTGTTTTCCCCAAATAATTCAGGAGCAGAGGTCAACAGAGGCGAGGGCAGACATTGCCTTGCCAAAAAACAGAACAGCACCTCACTGAAGAGCAAGGAAGACGGGCAGCTTTCCCAGAAGTGTCCCTCTGCCCTGTGCTGGACTGGATGGACTTGGAGTTAAACCTAAATGGGGATTTCTCATTGAGAAAAAAACACTGTTGATCCCAGTCCCACCACCACCTGGGAGCAGGGGAAATCCCCTCCAGGAGAGCTGACCCGGGCAGCAGAACAATCCCCTCACTGTCCCCTGCCCAAGCACAGACCAGACAGAACCTGCCCCAGAGAATGGAACTGGAGCTGATTTACAGAATGCCTGAGGGAATTCTGGGGCTCACAGAACAGGCTGTCCCTTCCCCTCAGGGCACAATCCAGAGAAAGGCCACAATTAACAGGGTGCCAGAAAGCAACAAAACCACTTCCAGCCTCCTTGGGCCAGCTACAGGCACTGGGCATGAGAATGGCTCCTTATGTAAGATTTCCTCAACGACAAAGAGAGAGGAGTGGCTTCCCCTCCCTGGAGAACAATGTCCCTGCTCCTTAGCATGGAGGAACAACCCCCTGCCATACATCATCCTCCTTCCCTGCCTTCAGTCTGCGGCACAGGACCCAAAATACCCTGGGAGTGAGCCTGAGCTGGGCAGAAGCCTGTAGAATCCTGGGATGGTTTGGGTTGGAAGGGATCCTAAGGGGATCCTATTGTTCCAGCCCCCTGCCATGGGGACCTTCCACCAGACCAGGCTGCTCCAAGCCCCATCCTGGTTGCCAGAGATGGACCCAGGTCCTCACAAAGCACCCCTGGCACTGCCAGTGCCCACCTGGCCACTGTCCCTTGGTCTGCCATCTCAGGACACCTGGGCTTGTGGCCAAGTTTGCCAACAACTGCCACCCTTCATGGGCTTCCTGGGAAGGAAGAGGAGGCAGCGAAGGAGAAGGGTGAAGCTGGAGGGCTGTGGAAGGAGCCCTGTGCTGGCTGAGGACTCACCTGCACGCCGTTGAGGGATGCCACTCCCATGTAGAGGAAGACACCATAGAGCACGGGCATGGGAATGAACTGTGGGACAAGAAGAGCAGGAGAGCCCAGGTGAGAACCTCCCCGGACGCCACGCACCGTTAACACACAGAGGGACAACATTCCCAGCCCAAACTGCACCCATGGGTGGATGACATGGAGGAACAAAGCCATGGAAGTAATAAAGCAAAATAAAGCTGAATAAACAATAAATCCTCCTGTTGTGTTCTGAGAGATGCAAGGACATTTGTGCAATCACACTCTGCCAGGACTTGGACATCTTGTAAAGAAGCAGAGGGAATGATGGCAGTCACTCAGCAAGTCAAGGAACAGGTGGGCAAACGTGTTCCAGTGAGCTTCAAACTGCCTTCCACCTCTCACTGGTGGTGTGACTGGAAGCAGAAGGCAGAGAAGAAGAAAAGACAGCACAATCCTGTAGTTTGTGGTACACCCTCTTTTCCCAGGTAACAGGCGACAGAACAAAAGGAAAATAACTCAAGTTGTGCCAGGGAAAGTTTAGGTAGGATATTAGAAAAACACATTTATAGAAAGGGTTGTCAAGCCCTGGCACAGGCTTTCCAGGGCAGTGCTGGAGTTGCCATCTCTGCAGGAATTTAAAAGCAGCACTTGGGGACATGGTTTAGCGGTGACTTTGGTAACGCTGATGGAACTGGGTGATCTTAGAGAGCTTTTCCAATTGAAACAATCCTGTGATTCCACGTCCAGTCCAGCTCAGTAAGCCTGCAAATCCATGCAGAAAGGATGTTCTCCTGAGTTCCACCTGAGCAACAAGAGTCGTGCCAAGCCAATCTCTGCCTGCTCCGTCTCTCGCACACATTAATCCAGAATTACTCCCAAATGCAGGACTGATTTCCCTTCTTTGTTACCAGGATGTGTCCCTCCAAGTGCTCCCTCCAAGTGCTGAGTGCTGCCCACACCTCCACATGGGGCACATCTCCCTTTGGGAGTGAGGAAGGTGCAGGGGAGCAGCAGACAAACTCCCTGGAATGAGTCTCTGGCCCTCACCAGAGAGGTGGGCAGCCAGCCTGGCAACAGGGATACTTGGGACAAACCATAGGCAGGGGCTGAATACCAGCCTCTGTGGGATTTACTGGTGCCCAGGGAGGATGGAATGAGCTCCAAAGGACAGTCCCTAGTGCAGTGCCAGGGGACTGCCACTGAATGGCAGCCACAGCCAGAGCACAGCACCCACTGGTCCCAGCACTCCTGCTGGGAACCCTCCCCTTCCAACCCCTGCCCTGAGCTCATCAGAGAGGCAAACAACACGGCAGCTTTCCAGGGTCTTAGCACATTCCCCATCACCTTGCTCAGCGCTTCCAGCAGGCATTTCCCTGGGGGCACATGAGCACCAAAGGCACCCAGCCATATGGGATCCAAAGCCTCCCAGCCTGCATTTCTCCTTCCTTCCTGAGTCTCACTGCCTGTCCCCTCTTTCGAGCTCCTTAACTCCTAACTCATCCTTCTCTTGGATTGATTTGCTCCCTCGAGTGAGCCACACTGCTATTTCCCATCTGAAGGTAAATGCTTTTTCTGCAGCGTGGGCTCTGCCAAAACCTCTGCTGTGACAGGGACGGGGACCTGGCGGGGGCTTCACAGAGCTGTGGGTGACCATGGGATTCAAAGCCCTCACTGGGCCTGAGGGATGACACATGACACAATGCAGTAAGCAAGAGTTGAGCTTGCCAGTTCATTTTCACTGCTCTCCTCTCCTGCCCTTCTGTTTATTTCCATGGGGTTTTTTAAAGTAAGAAAAATGTGTGAATATTATTTCAGCATTCCATGATGATGAATCTTGCAGATCATCCCGAGGTGAAACCTCAGTACCTTACTTAGCCTGCAGAGCAGCAAGCGGTGCTGTCCTTTTGGGAAGACTTTCTCTTGGCAGAGCATTCCCTAACGATGGGGGTGCTGGCTTTGGCGCTCCAAGCAAAGCTGCTGCAGGCCAACAGGACTGAAACTGTATTTATAGGAAAGTGCCTGTCACCCTCCTAGCAGGGCCAAGGATGGATCTGTGGAGATCTGCCTTGGCTGAGCAGAAACTACACCACCATCCAAAACCAGCACAGCCACCGCAAAGCCCTCAGCAAACAAAGCTGGGATTATTCCGTGGATTGCCTGGTTTATTAAATTCAGGATTGTCAGCGTTCAATTTGCCCCTGGCAGGGAAAGACTGAAATGTTCTGCAATGCATTTAACAGTGCAGCTCTCTCCAGCAGGACCCTGCCACTGGAATTTGCTAAAGGTCCTGAAATGCTGCCAGGTCCTTCCCGCTGGCACGTGGGCCAGCAGCATGCTGACTTATCCTCAGGCGTCCTCCAGCGAGGATCTTCCCCACACATTGTCTTAGGGGAAGCACTGACAAATAATTAATGGCTACAGCAATAACAGGGGAAGTAAAAGACCCCAGTGGAATAGAGGGAGAGGGATGTTGGAGGGAAAGGTCACATGAACTAAAAAACAGGATTATCACAATCAGGCATTAAATTAAAGGCACAGAAATGCCTGTTTGTGTGGAGGTGGAAACTGTTACCTGAGACACCAAAATTCGAGCCCGACCAACGGCCTTAGAAATGAAAGCCACTGTCTCCACTCCCTCCACGGGCAGAGTTGCTGCTCCCTGCCTGCCTCCTCCCCTCAGGCTCACACCACACTGTGCCTCACAGCCCCTGCAGTCTCCAGAAACTCCTGTGCAGCTTCCAGAAACACTGTCTGCTCGGTGCCGCGGTTACAACACACGGTGCCGCTGCTCTGACCTCTGCTGCTCCTGCCATTGGCTATGGATCCATGGATAAGGGCTCCTGCAGCTGACATCTCCTGCTGGACAGCATGTCTGTGCCCCAGAGAAGGCAGCAACAAGACAGATTTTCCAGTTTCCTTCTACAATCTGATGATCCACTAAGGATGCGTTTCTCCATGGCTACATGCCACCACATCTCTGGTCTTGGAAAACAGCAACCTAGATGCAATGGTCCATCAGTAGCACATCTGTCCAGAGCCTTGGCTAAACTTATAGGAAAAAAAGGTTCAGGAGATGAAGAAATGCCATTTAATTGCACTGCTTCCTCCAGAAACATGTTTTCCATGCTCTGAGCTTTATCCAGAATATGTTTTCCATAAAGCAAAGAGGTATGAAAGAAATCATAAAAGAAAAGGGAACTTAACTTTATGCAAACATGGAGAAATAACCTTAAAATGAAAAAGACTACAGTGCCCAAGCACCCCAGCCCTGAACTTCATCAATGTTCTAGCATGCTACAACCATGCAGGTGTTTCCTTCCAGAAGTTTTAGATTTAAGCCTTCAAAGAACTGTGAACAGTCCTTACCTTGAGGATGGGAGCCATGAAGACAGACACCCCGGTCAGGATGAAAACGATGACACCAGTGACTCTCTGCTCCCTGAAACAACAGCACTGAGTCAGGTCCACAAGCACTGAACACCAATAGGAATCCCCCAAACTCATTTTTGCAGCCACATTTTTCATCCAACAGCCTCAGGCAGGTGGCTGGATCCTGAGCCAGACCTCTGTTTTAAACCCCCAGACAGTTTTGTTACACTGTTTGGGGATCAGCACAGCACTGCAGCTGAGCCTGGGGCTCACATTTAACCACCACAAACGGTGTGGCAGCTCCCAGCTCCCTGCCCAGCCATGCCCAGGGCGTGCAGAAAGCACTAAATCATCAGCTCTCCCTGCTGAGATCAGTAACACAGCATCAGCCCTGCCCAGAGCGCCCCGACAGCCAGATAAATCATTCAGACCTTCCTGGGGTGCTCAACACGTGCCTTCAGCAGCACCCACAGGGCTTCCCACACCCAAAAATACCTCTGCCAGTAATATTTCAGAACGCTGAAAGTCAGGCCATACAATTTCCACTTAGTTACCTAAATAAGCAGCCTGATTTCCAGGAGTAATCCCATTGGAAGCACTTCAGACCACTTAATGAAGGCATCCAAACACATGAAATAGATGCTTCATTAAGTAGAGCTGCTTGCACTAGGTATGATAGTTTTGTACGTTTGATCATTACATTTGTTAAGGAATTTGCTTAATTTCCCTGGATACAGAAGTCTGCAGGAAACTTATTTCCTTTAACACAGGAACACTGCGTCTGATGTGGCCAAGTAAACTTTGGAGGAGCCACATGGGGGCTCGCCCAAGGAACTGGCTTTGGAAATAGGGAGAAGGCAGCACAAAATTCTTCGTACAAAAGGATTTTGCAGGCAAACGAGGTAATTGGGCCTTCCTGGTTGGACATACCTCACTCCCAAAAACTTGGGCTGCTCTCCAGGGGCCGAAGTCTCCGTCTCCATCTTCAAGCTGTCAATGTGAGCGATGGAGATGACGGTAGCAGCCACGTACCAGGGCAGCCCCATAAAGGAGCAGACAATCATCAGAATGGCCACCCAGAACAAATCCAGATGATATCCAGCACCTTTCTGTGGAAGGAGACAAACAGCCTTCAGCTTAATTATTCCAAATGCCTCCGGAGCAGGGCAGAGGCATGCTGGACAGGCAGAATTTCCTCCTGCAGCATCCTGGCCAACAGAGACAAACACCAGAAATACATGGGATCTTGTGAACAGCAAAAGGAAGCATCTCCCTTGGGACACAACACCAGGCTCCTTCAGGAGTGCAACAAGAACAACTGAAGCCTCATTCCCTATCCAAAGGAGAAAGCTGCCCTCGTTCTTGACTCCTTTTCAAACACCGCTGATCCTCTATTTTTAAAATCCTTTAATGAAATAAAACAGGAATTCCAGCAGCCAAGAGAAGAGAAGAAACAAAAGAGCCACCAAGAAAAGGGATCTTCAGAAAAACAGCGGACAAACCTCTAAGGTTTGCTATTTTAAAACAGATTAACCTTTTTAAAATCCCATTCAGTTTGATTTTATTGGAAAAAACAAATGATCCAGGCCTAGGATGACCCAGGAGGGAGGGCAATCCAGCTTCTCTTGAATAGTCCTCACTGTTTTCCTGACATGTGCACTGCTTACCTTGGCCTGCTGGTGCCAGCAGGATGGGCACCCAGCAATACCCTGCCAACACTTCAGAAAGGGATGAGCAGAAAAAACCACCTTTTTTCCTACAGCAGACCTTGTGCATAGAAGTGTTTTTTGGTATGGAACAACAAGATGGGGCTTGTGAACTCTCAATTCCACAAAATACCATACTCACACCATAAACAAAGGAAGCAGGGAATACATTTTTTACATCAAACAGTACTTTGCTGGAGTGTTTATAATTTGTTACTAAAAAAATACAGCCAGTGCTGACAGCAAAACCACATTCAGAGACTCATAAGCTGCAGAGATGAGGGGCCCCTTCCTCATGAGGGAAGAACAGTGAATATTTTCTTACAGTCTTGAAGAAAATGGTATGTCTGCTTGGTTAGGTGTAAGAGACAGACCTAAAACTGTTTAGCCATCTCTGAGGAACAAGACTGCCCAGTATTGAGTTCATCTGCCCAGATCCAGGTGGCAAACAAGGATGTTCTGAGGGGATGATTTTAAACCATCAGCCAGCAGTCATCACTGTGCATAAGAAACCTTTCCCATTCCCTGGTACTTCAACTCTCTCCTCCAGGCTGGGCTCAGGATGGTCTTAAATTACACATTACTTGTCTCATGTTTACAGTGACCACATGAATTGAAACATCCTCCTCTTTTCCAAGCAGAAGCTCCCACCCCATTTCCAACAGTTCTCCTGATAACTGATAAAGCAGGTATCTAAATAATGACCCACCACTGCTGGTGTTTTGAGGGAGCCACTACTGCCTCAAGTGGGTCAGACCACTTGAAACATGCCCTGTTAGCAGGAAGGGAGAGTCTTCTTTCACAGGAATTTAATATTTTTCAATAGAACTGACCATGCAGGGGAATGGGAAAAAACCCTACAGGCATGAAAAACTGCTTATCACTGGTCTGGAAAGTTTGTTTTAAAAATATGGCTACATCTTAGGCTGTTACATATCAGCTCTTCTTTAAATAACATCCAAATGATTTGGTATGTCCCAAATCTCTCCAGCTTATTGCTGGTATTTGACAGCACCGTGCAGCTTTGGCCACAAAGCCACTTCTGCTTAGAAACAGCAGCCAGTGCCAGGGACCAGGCTCATGTCCATGAGGGAGGAAGGTGGCAGGAGGAAAAGCCCCTGCATGTGCTCCAGGCACAAGGCCCACTCACCTTGAGCTTGTGCTCCTTCCTGTTGACGATGACGGCCGTGATCTGCTGGTCCATGAAGATGAGGATGGTCACCAGCAGGGCAGGGATGGCTGCTGCCAGGTACACCCACCAAGGGTTCCCTCCAAAAGGTGGGATAAACCAACCCCTCTCTGGACTGGTTGGCTTTGAAGGGCAAGGGAAAGAAAGCTTGTGTTAGAGGCGCAATACAGGGGTGATGACATCCCAAAGCCACCTTTGCTTCCAGCAATGGAGCTCCAGGGAGACACTTTAGGTTTGTGGCAATTTCATCCTTCCCATTAACACCAACTAAAGGCTCCCAGTATGGAGGCAGAATTTAGGAGATAAACCAGCCAATTAAAATGATGCTAACAAAAAGCATCCTAACCCTGTGATTAAACAGGCCCTTTCCAGACCGCTGACTACATTCCCATTCTGAGGGCAAGCCACTCCGTACAGGGCAGGTGCAAGGGAGAAGGAACCTCCTCCAAAAGCCAGCAAACAAGCTGACAACAACATACCTTGAATTCACTTGGCACAATTAGTTTTGGTGTGTCCACACCGACCAGGGCATCTATTCCACAGAAGATCAAAATGGACAGGATAATGGCAAAGTCACTGATGAGCTTCCGGGCCTGAAAGAGACGCGGTACCACAGCCACAGGAGTTAGCACCACAGAACCCATGCTTTAGTGCCCACAGCACAAACCCTGCCAAGACCAGCTCATCAGTTCTTCTCCCACAAATAAGCCCACCATCATGTCCAGTGTCATTTGCCACACATGCCTTGGTACTTTACTGTGTTCTCTGAAAGCCTAAATGGAAGCATGGAAACAACACAAACTTCCACAAATGAGATACTCTGAAGGACTGCCAGAGATTACATTGTTTGCTGTTCAAGTAGTAAGTCAAACTAAGCAGACAGGACAACAAACCAGGCTTCTCCCCTAAATCCCTAAGACCGCAGTTCTCCTGAAGTCACTGGAATACAACAACTTAGAGCTGCCATCAATCAGACCCCAGAATTTAACCAGACAGGAGCCACTGTGCTGGCCTGGAACTGTGTGACTTCTCCAGAGCCGCTGTTCCTTCCAGGTTTCCTGCGTTCACATGGTTACAGATAAATTGAGCTGCATTCCAGCCTGGATGGAATTTGTTTCTTTTCTATTAAAAATAAGAGAGGTTCAATTGTAACACAGTGGAACAGTAAACATCCACGCAGGATAAATCCCTGTGTGTCAGAATGCCAGAAATGGGACAGTCTCAGTGACTTTGGCTTTGGCTCGCACGCCTGGCCCGGGAGCCTCACCAGGGGACAAAACAAGTAGATGCACCCAAGGCATGCCTGAAAGCTTGGAAGGGTTGCCTTCAGCACCTTTAAAACCCCTGCCACATTACCCAAACAGGTTACAGCTCCTCTTGGCTCTTCTGCTGCCTTACCTGTGCTCTCCAGAACCACTGGGAGCAATCCCAGGCATACCTCTGATAACCAGATCCAAGGAAGGCTCTGAGCTGTGCCCTCACAAAGACTGATGGGGTGACAGGAGATACTTACAGTGGTGGGAAAGTAGCGACTGGTCTTGAATTTCTTCAGGGCCATGGAGCACGTGTAAGTGCCAAAGAAGAGGATGAAAGACATGAGGGTGATGTCAGGGACATAGCCACAGTTGTTGCCCACAAGCTGACCCCCATACTTCAAGCAGTCCTTGGCTGTCAGAGCTGCCCAGTCAATGGTGGTGTTGGCCTGCAGGAAAAAAGGGAATGTTTCCATAAGGCTGTGTATACTCAGCCCGTGGTGGGACAGGAACGGTGACAGAGTATCTGAGAGGAACAGGGAGCATCATGTAGAAGCTAAAAATCATGGAAGCACAGAATGGTTTGGGTGAGACCATTTCCCTGCTGGTGTTTGACTAAAAGGGGTTGGTTACTCTGTGTCTCAACTTCCTTCCCCCACACACGGATGTGATCCATCTAGCTCCACTCCTTTCTCCTCACTATCCAGAGCTCACCAGCAGAGTGGCACCACAAGACTCTGCAGGCCGTGTGATTCCTGCCTTCCCATGGGGAACTTACCAGCTCAGAGGAGGGAGAGACCAGCTCATAGTCTGACAGCACCATTGTCCTGTTAAGTAATGAGCTATTAACTGCAAGAGAAAAGAAAATAGGCAATATGGTGAGCAGGATGCAGGAAACAGTTAGGAAGGAGAGCCAATTCCAATTATTAAATAATTTCTTGACTCTGTCAAGCTGTTTGCCACCTCTTTGCTCCTGAAAAGTGAGTCACAAGTGTTTTAGAGAGACTCAAAAGCTTCAATCATCAATCACTCACAAAACAGAAAAAGAAAAGGTTAAGTGAAACATAACCCAAACCCAACTGGGATTATATTTTGAGTTGATGGCAAAAAAACCCCATGAAAAACCAGACAGACAATATAATATTTCATAGCTTTCCAATGTTTTCCTAATGATTTCTGGATTAAATTAAATACCCACAGAGCACTCCTAATGATTAATTTCAAATGCAAGCACAACACCAAAGATATCCAGAAAAGCAGAATGCGATTCAGAGGCCAGCATAAACACAGTTTTGAATTAAAAGAAAGAAAAAGGAGAGCAAGAAATTGAAATCAACAGGATGGGGATAATTTCTTTGAAAGAAGGAACAGCGTTCCCTGTGGCTTCTGAAGCATTAGGAATCATGAATTTGAAATTTCATTTAGAAATGCAGTCCTTCCTGCAAATAGGCTCGTGGCCCCTCTCCTCATGGCTGACTGAGGTTTTGCATAAATAAACTTTTTTCACTTGGATGTCTAGAGGGCCACAAGTGTTTCAATGGGAAGTGAAGACTTCCAATTTGGCACTGACCATTCCCATCGTCCTAGTTTCAAAAAGGAATTCGTTCACTCTGCCATTCCAGTGGGAGGCAGAACGAGACTGGCATCCACGTGCTCACCAAGGTCCTGTTTAACAGGGAAGGCAGGAACACAGCCCCAGGGAACCGGCTCCCGACACCTGCAAGGAGCAGCCAGCAGCTTTTCCTGTTGGACAGGTGTGCCGAGATAACCTGCAGTTTACTCTGGGTACAGATTAGGTTTCTTACTCACTCCCATTGTTTGTGGGATCTAGGAGTGGTCCAGCATCTCCCAGTCTGGATTTGGGTTTTGTAACCCTTTGTTCCCAGAGCCATAGATACACTGGCTCTATCAGCAGTGCAGCCCACACTCCAGAGATAGGCTGCCCTGGGGATACACTTCCCTTCTTGGAAGGGAAGGAATTGTTTGTGCTTTCCCTCTCATCCATGCAGACAGGAGGTGGGAACCACCCATGTTTGGGTAACACCTTGAATAAATCCAGCTCCTGAAACAGGAGTGGCCTGAGCTCCATGGCAGTGACCTCAGCTGCACAGCAGTGACCTGGCCACCACTGCTGCCCCTTCATGGAATTCTCAGAGGAATGCCATTTGGAAGAGGGATGCAAAGAGACATAGGTGCAGAAACAGCTTCTCCACTGGACATGATGCTCTCTGGAGGAGTTCCAGCAAGGCCAGCTGTTCTGTGACATGCAGGTGTAGAAGAAGGGATTACAGGTGACCTCGCACCTGAGAAGTCACAGTTGTACTAATTACCAAAGACAGGAACAGCCTTGCCCTTAATGGGTCACAGCTGTGACTAATAAAGATAAGTGTCATAAAAGGGGTGGGCTGGCTGCTCAGGGGTGGACCTTGAAGAGGAGGGCCCCTGAGGAAGAAGGAATAACCCTGAAGAACTAGAGGACAGACAAAATAAGGAAGAGAGTTGCTGCTGAAAGAGATCTGTGGTTGGGTTTGCGAGGAGCCTGCAGTAAGAGCCTGCTGCTGGAGCCTGCAGTCATATTCCAACAGGAACAGCCTGCAGAGTCTGCAAACTAATACATGCAGTCACAGTCAAACAGGAATTAGCTGCAGTCAGAGTCTGCCAGGGAAGCCAACAGCAGGAGCTTGCTGGTCAGTCAGGATGGCTCAGTTGTAGAGAAGAATCAACGGGGACCCTTCTTGAGTCTGTGTCTTGGCTCATTTCTACCCCTAAGGAGAGGTCTGCTGCAACACTGACATTCCACTTGGGATGAAATTTACCTCTCAGCTTCCTGAGACTAAGACAGGATATCTGAAGGCAACTGATAAAGAAAGAATAATCCACCTATTATCTGGGCTGCAGCACAAGGGAAAAGGAGAGCAAAGGCCACCTCCTATCTACAAACTGGAGAGGTAATGAACGCTCCCTTACCTGGATCTAGTGGTTTACAGGCACAAGAGTAATGAGTGATATAGTCCACCTTGAACTGGGAGTTGATGGGATAATGATCTGCCAGCTTGATCATCTTCTTGAAAGCATCATAAATGAAGATGAAGCTGATCAGGGAGGAAAATCCTTCTTCGGTGAAGCGGGTGAAGTACTTGACCAGGAAGCTGGCATCGGTGGCCACGAGGATGAGACACTGGAAGGCGGACCAGAGGCCGATCCAGAGGCGGAACTCCAGGTAGTCAAAGCCATTGTCCCTGCAACAAGACAAGGGTGGCAAGAAAGGAAAACATCGCTTTAGATAAGATCAGGAAAGCAGATGTTACACGGAATGAAGCTGAGTCAGGGGAAGTTGAATCACAGAATCACCAGGCTGGAAGAGACCTTCAAGATCACTGAGTCCAACCCAGCCCCAACACCTCAGCTAGACCATGGCACCCAGTGCCACATCCAGTCTTTTTTTTAAACACATCCAGGAATGGTGCCCCAGGCAAACTATTCCGATACTTTATCATCCTTTCTGTAAAAAACCTTTTCCTACTATCCAGCCTGTATTTCTCTTGGTACAGCTTAAGATGTGTCCTCTGGTTCTGCCAGTGCTGCCTGGAGAAAGAGACCAACCCCACCTGACCACAGCCACCTTTCAGAAAGTTGTACAGAGTGATAAGGTCACCTGTGAGTTTCCTTTTCTCCAGGCTAAACAATCCCAGCTCCCTCAGTGGTTCCTCAGAGGGTTTGTGTTCCCAGCCCCTCTCCAGCCTCGGTGCCCCCTCTGGATGGGCTCAAGGGTCTCAATGTCCTTCCCAAACTGAGGGGCCAGAACTGGACACAGCACTCAAGGTGCAGCCTCACCAGTGCCAAGTGCAGGGGCAGAATGACCTCCCTGCTCCTGTTGGCCACACCATTCCTGATCCAGACCAGGAGCCGTTGGCCTTCTTGGCCACCAGGGCACACTGCTGGCTCGTGTTCAGCCAGCTGTGGACCAGTACCCCCAGGTCCCTTTCTGCCTGGCCACCGTGCAGCCACACCGTCCTCAGCCTATGGCATTTGCAGGAGGTTATTGTGGCCAAAATGCAGGACTGGGCACTTGGACTGATTAAACTTCATCTTACTGGACTCTGCCCATCCATCCAACCCTTCCAAGTCTCTCTGCAGAGCCCTCCTACCTTCCAACAGATCAACTGAGATTGGACATAAAGGAAAGATCTTCTCCCAGAGGGTGGCTGGACACTGGAACAGTCTCATCAGGGAAGCAGCCATGGCACCTAACCTGACAGAGCTCAAGGAGCATCTGGACAGTGCTCTTAGTCATATGGTTTAGTTTTAGGTAGTCTCGCCAGGTGCAGAGATTTGGACTTGCTGATCCTTATGGGTCCTTTCCAACCTGGGATATTCTGTGGCAAACCCTGGTGTTTGGAACAGCAGGGGGTGGAGAATCATGCACCCAGCTGCATCGTTCCCTCCTGGGAACCATGGCCTCCCTTGTTTGCTTCTTGAGGCTGAGGTGCTGTGCTGGCACAGAGTCCAAAAGTGGGCTTTTAGGAATGAAAAAGTGCCTAAAGGGAACACTGAGCAGAGGAGGAAGGCCACTGCCTGTGCGGAAGGAAGGAAGAGGTGGTGGGACTGGCAGGCTCAATTCCAGCTGTAATTCTCTGGAAGCCAGAAGCCCTGACCTGGAAGAGGGCAAGAAGCAAGAAACGAAGTGATTTAGAAAAAGAGAAGAGAAAAAATAAAAATACAAGACCCAAGTGACTCTGAAATATCTGGAGTCAGTGCCTGAGGGGGCAGGAGGTGCCATCCATGTGAAGGCAGCTGGCAGAAACCTGGCTACACTGACTCCACACCACTGAAGAACTTCAGAAATGTTAAACTGTATTATTTTGGCTTTTACTCCTCAGATTGCTGCAGTGCTTCTGAAGCTGACAGAGGAGGTGGAAAAGCACCATGCCCTGCAGGACTGGCCCCGGCAAGGAGCACCCGAGGCCAGACACACAGCTGGGTCTGCAAGGCCTTCTCAGGGACCTTTCCAGACACACACACAGTCACACTTCAAATCACTCAGGGGATGGGAGGTTCTCCTGCTTTTGCTCCTAGCAGGGAACAGTGTGTTGTGAAAATGAACAACCACAAATGCATTACTGAAAAATCAGAGTACTCAGTTTCAATTTCCTTGTAAGACAGGCCTCCTTTGAAAAGGCTTGCCTTTCTGCTCTGGCAGGTTGTTAGGACAATGGCTTTTACAATTGCTACCTCCTCCTCAGGTTAACAATAACCACCTTCTCCCTCCCAAAACAGTACAACAGTGCTTTTCCATCTTGCTTTTTTCCTGCTGCATGCTGCACCTGGGCTTTGTCATGCTTGCAAGACGCCCACAGGTGCAGTGTGTCCCTTCCTGACTCTATTCATTGATTCCAGATGAGGGAAGAAAAGAAAGGTGCCCTGTTCTTGCTCCTCTATGTAACTCTCACCCTTTGTTAGCTTCCAGTTTCCCTCCCTCGGATAATCTAACTCTCTAGCCATTTTTTCTAGCCTCCATACCCCTCTACATGTAGGAATACAAGTCCTGCCATGCTGAGAACACAGACTATAAGGAATTTGGGGTGTATTCTATGTAACCTAAAATGATCTCCTTGCAAAACACCAGCCAAAGGGTCACTAGCCCCACAGATGAAATCATCCATGACACTGCTGATTCCTTTGGGGATTCCAGGGTCTCTTCCTGGTATTGCAGATGTGGGAATGATAAATGAGCACACCTAACAAAATGGGCTCCCTTTAGCTCTGGATGTTATCTCTCAACCATGTGGAAGAAGCAGAACTTCTTCATACCAGTTAAATGGGAAAAAATGCAGGACATTTCCTTTAAAAGCAGGAAAGCTCCCCCATGGAATTCTGGGGCCTGTTTCTATCACAGACACTTGTGTTTTTATGAATAATAGTGATTATTTCAAATGACTACTGAACAAATTTTTGGCAACCTTGAGATCTATGGGATTCTGTTAGTGAAGAGTGGGATTCATTTCCTTGCTCCTATGGGAGTCAGAGGAGCAGTGACTGGGAGAAGCAGCACACTGCAACCAGAGCAAATTCCTCATGGAGCACTGAAGTGGCCAGGGTTGTTTTTTTTTTTTTCAGGAGGCCCCACAGAGACAGGCACCACACACTGGGCAGCGCCCTGGGCCACGCATGCCGGGCAAATCCCTGATGTGATTGCGCCGGATCTCAACAAGGAACGAGACGTTTCATTTTGTGCACTAAATCCCCTCCTTCCCCAGCAGCAGGCAGCTCATTCCCTGGCTGGGGTTTGCTCCGTGTGGGACATTCCTGCCCTCCCCACCACGTACTCACTTGCTGAAATTGAAGAGGAGCCGCTCAAAGACCAGGACGGGGCCGGTGCTGCTCAGAATGGTGAGGGGCTGGCCAGCCAAGAGGCAAAACACGGCGCCAGTGACAGCGGTGCCCAGGAAGCTCTCCAACACGCCCTGCGGGGACACAGGACAGCAGTCACCCTCTCTGAAGGAGCCCTTCTGTCATGGCTGCCTGCTGCATGTCTTTGTGACCAAGGGGACAGCATCCTCTGCCCCCCTGCAGCTCTCACCAAGATGCTGGTCCCACACAAGCCAGAGTTACTGGGGATAACCACATGTGCTGAGTGATTAACGGCACGGGGCTGATCCTCCCTTCCAGCCATACTGCAGGGATGGGGCTGCAGCTCTCCTGACTTGTCAGGGGTACTGCAAGAACTGAAATCCAGTTTTGTGTCTCTCTTCCTTTAGAAGACACGAGTTAGTGTTTACACTGAGGAAAGCAACAGGCTGGCTGCCTTCGGGGGACTTGTAAGGATGAGCCCAATAATCCCAGGGCAAGGAACAGGCTTCACACAGCTGATCCCCTCCACTCCTCTTGTATTACTCATGGAGAGGGCCCTCGTGGCCAGAGCATCTGGAATCTTTTCCCTGCATTCTTCCATGTGTCTGTAGTTAAGAATAGTGTCTTTTCTTGAAAACAGAAAACTCAGGAGCGAGCTGTAAAGGCAGTGCTGGCTGGGGCAGCTCCCAGGACAGGGAGCAGGGATGGGCCATGCTCAGTTCCTGCCCCAGCAACGGCCACATCACTGTTTACAACAAACTGTGATGCAGTAGCCCCAAAAATATTGCCCTCTGGGGGTTTTTTGTTACTTGATAGTAAGTATTCTTGAGACTTCTGGCACAGTGAAGTGATTCTCAATTTGAACTGGATTTGGAATCAGGTAACATTTCCCCTTCCTCCTGTAATGTAAAGACTGTGCAGAGCAGACAGGCTTTGCTCTGCTATCCCCATGACAGTCCAGTGTTGCTCACTGGTGGGATCTGGAGGCCTTTCCACTCCTGACTTCCACGAGTCTCAGAAAAGGCAAACTGTTTGTACAGGAGGGAGGGGAGCTGGGCACTGCTGCTGGATCTTACTCTAGACTGTAATTCATCACAGTAGAGTGCAGGGCTCCAGATATGTGCCCTCATTTCCTATGTTTGACTTAATTAAACCTGCATAAATTAATAATTCAGTCATTATCATTATGAGCGTGATTATTGCTAGGAGATTTGACTGAAGTGGACTGGCTGAACTGAATATATCTAAACACAACCTCCTAGTTTTCCTATTATTCCACTAACACAAAGCACCTACAGCACTGTTAACAGAGAATCCCTTCTCTTTAGCCTGAGCTAAGCCATTGATCCAGCCTGCCTGTGAATATGTGGCTGGTTCTCAGCTTGTGCCCTCCCACTACTACAAAATTAATCTTTCTAAAGACCTGACATTTCTCTCCTGTGTTACTCATTTTCCTAATTATTTTGGGATTTTCTTTTCACCGGAGAGGCCAAAGCCCAGGTATTGTAGGAATCAGGCAGAGGATTCAGAGTCAGCAAACTGAATTGGACTGAAATGGTACAACTGAGAGCAGATTAGAAGAGCTCTACAGAAGGAGCAAAGACCTTCTCTGTCTCTTGGGCCTGCTTTTGTTCACCATTTAAGGAACTGCTGTACAAGTTGTCAAAGGACAGCCACAGCAGCAGAGAAAGCAGTGAAAACACAGAACACCTGCATTATTGTACCAAGAATTCCAGCTTTGCCAGTGCCCAAACATTGCTCTGACTGGAGTGCAAAAGGCAAATGCTGGATTTGTCGGTTCTGAAAGCTCCTGCTCACCTGCATGTTCTCTGTAGCATCCCCAAGCAATCCCCCAAAAGTGATGGCATTGGTGACAGTGGCCAGGTAGATGAAGAGGATGGCTGAGAGGGCCTGGATGTTTAAAGCATCGTAGAAGTCGCTGGCGAAGAACGGTGCTTTCCTCTTGATGTCTTTGATCAAACCCCCACAGAACCTGCAGGGACAAGCAAGAGGAGACTGATGCAAGATGTTTCACAGTGGAGGTCACCACGCTAAGCCATCAGAGACACTGCCAGCAATGAAGTATTATCTCAAAGGAGTGAGATCACCACGTTACAAACAGTCTTCTCACGGCTGTGGTGGTCCAGGGATCTCAGAGAGAATGCTGCAAGGAAAGATACTATCTCAAACATGTGACCCAGATGGAAAGGGACAAATTTCAGGACTACAAGCCATGCTTCTGCTGAAACAGACCACCACAGTTTGTATTTCAGGAAGCTCATCTGTTGGTTTTTTCCCTCCAAATATATTAGTTGATGTAATAAAATAGATTAACTCTTGTCTAAGGCCCTGCCTGAATTTCTCCACATAGCAGACACCATGGCTGGGCGAGCCAAACAATCTGCTGCATGGAAAAATGCTTCCAATTAACAACCAGCAAAAGAACTAGAAGTAAAAACATAAGGGAAACACACTTGGATGACAAAAGAGCTCACTTGCAGACATCCCTTTCTGTATGATCACAGACAAGACTGTACTTAAGTCCTAAACTCCACGTGGCACTGACACTGGCAGCATGAAAAATGTTTGTTCAGCCTCTTGTTCCCCTGCTCCCAGCTCCCCACCTCTGCCAGGACTGCACAGACACTGTGACAGACAGGCACATGCTAGCTTCTGACCCCCAATCAGGACACTCCACTGCCTTGTACACACCAAATACTGTGTGAAGACTTTCAGACTTTTCTCCTAGAATTTAGACTAGAACTAGAACTGAAAAAGAAGATTCAAAGTGGGAGGGCACAGAGCCACCATGAAGCCCTGTGCAGTGATCTTGAAACACTCAGCTCGCTGTTTTGTGGCCACCTGAGCTGTATTCCTACTCCAGTGGACTTTTATGTGACACAAAGCAGAGTAATAAAGCAGAGAGTAGGGCCTGGGGCACTGTTAAACTCTCTGTTCCTATCCCATAAAAGCCTTCAGCTGTGCAATCCAACTGCACCACTAACATCCAGAACAGGGAACATCTCTGCTTGTGGCTAAGGCACCCCTTCAGCAATCCAAACTGATGAACTGAAGCTTGTAGCTGCCATGTTTATGTCCCCTATGGTTCACCTGACTTCACAGGCTCCCAGCAGGCAGCACCTGCCTGGGCCTTCTGTCCTCTTTAATGCTCTTTAGCATTTACTGAGCGTCTGACCCATGACCCTCTGCCACCTGCTGAAGCCAGATGTTCTGAACCCTTCAGCCAGCCTCACTCCGGGCACAAAAAGCTGCCAGGACACATTCTGGGGCCACACCTCAGCCTGCACAGGCAGTCCACGGGGGTGGCACGTTTTGGCAAGGGGGTGTCACTGACCTGCCGGTGCGCTGCAGCTCCTCGCAGTCGCCGTGGCCGCCGCCGCCATGGCCGCCGTCATGGGGCGTGTCGCCGTTCATCTGCACGTTCTCTCCACCCGAGTACATGTTCTTCCTAGGCCAGGACACAGCACGTCACCAGGAGCAAGGGGAACCCTGAAGAGCCTGGCCAACTACCAGCTATGTTATTGTGTGCCTACAGCATCGCCTCAATAGGTACAGACTTCCAGGAACATCCTCCCTCCAGCAACTAAGGAAGGCCTGAAAATATCTCCAGGACTTTCTAAATAGTGGCAGCCAGGTGCAGGTCACTCCACACACCTGGCACAACCTGAACACTGCCTCTTCCCATCCCCTTTCCACACCTCATGCCCACTGTCCTTGGCCACAGAGCCCCTCTCCTGCTATTACCTCTTATCCGAAGAAGGGAGAGACTTAGGGGGCTCTATCCTAATGGCTGGATCCCATTCCCCAGGGGGGAGCACAATGACTTCATCCAGAAATTCATCGATGCCTGCGATCAGGTCCTGACGGTCCTTGGCTTTATAGGCAATGTCATGGAATACCTGCAAGGAAAAGAGACTCCCTGAGGGAAAGGTTTGCGTTTTCTGTGGCCCTGACTCCAGAAGCAGCTGCTGAGTTCTACAAAATCAAATTAATTCCTTCTCAGAAACCTCTGAAGAAGTATCAGGACGTGTAGCACAAGGAGGTGTGACCCTCAGAAAGCCCCTTCCTTCGGCTGGATAACAACAGAGATTCTTTCCTTTTGGGCATTTAGCTAATTTTAAGTAAACCATCTATTTCTAACCTTTAAAAATGTTATTAAAGCAATTGTCTATATCTTTAGTGCAAAAAGTTTTCCTCTACATAAGGACTTTCAATTATACTTGGAGAAGACACTTTGACAAAGCCACCTACTTCAGTCTATCAAACCCAGATCAATTTTCAACCCTGTGACACAGAACTGATGACAGTAGTTACTCAAAAACGACATCATAAACTGGTTTTAGTGAAAGGCCTGGTATTAATCGTGAAGAACAAATGAGAAAAGGAGGGGTGGGAAAAAGCATTAATGCTGAATTTTATAGGAATCTTCTGGACTGTGTGGAGAGGAGGTGGGTCAGTGCATGTGACAGACGAGCTAGTGGAGAGAAGGGACTCTGGGGCTGTGGGAAGCAGTCCACTGAGTGACAGAAAGCAGGAGAGCTGGGGCAGCTGAGCTGTGATGAAGGAACTGTAGGAGAGCGAAGCAACGCCAAGAAGCAAAGCAGATGTGAACGAGCCCCAGCACACAGGGCTCTAGAGACGCTGGAAAAAGGAGCTGTAAGTGAATCCTGAAAGCCCAGCCATGGCAGTGAGGAGGGGCCAGCTGCTCCTGGCCTACATATCAACCCTGCCAGTGCCCAGGACGCAGTGCCACACACGGCACCACGTGGGGGAAACGGGCTGTGGGCAGCACCTGCATATCCCTGGCTGTGTGATACTGGGATGGCAGAATGGGACACAAGGAAACAATTCACCACAATGGACTAAATTCAACAATTAATTCACAGTTGATATGAAAGAGTGATCGCTAGCAGGAAAATACACACGCAGACAAACCCCTCCTAGAGACACGCTTTTCAAAAACACAAAGCTAGAGGCAGTAATTATGTCAACAGATGGAATGAGGAGGTAACACGGATATTTCAGCTTTAAGTGAATTCTCCTTCCTGTTGAGCAGGCTGGAGGGAAGGACATTTTTACTTGGGAGAACCATTTCCCACTGGAGATGCCAAGACACCTACCTCGTCCGACATCAGCGTGGCAATGGCTCGGCCGATCTCATGATAGGACTTGGCTTTGCCCTTTGGTCCCAGCAGAATGAAGAGAAATCTGACAAAACCAAGAGATTGTTCCCGTTTAGGATGGAAAAATCAAGTGCTTATTACTTATACTACACCTGGACAGAAATTTGACCTGAAAAACTGTGGTCCTTGTTGGAGATCTGGAGGATAGCCTTTCGCTATCTTTGGAGCAGAGGTTACTCCCTGTGGCCCACCATGGCCTGTGCACCACAAAAACCTGTCCACCTCCATGGGGATTAGTTTCATGGAATCACAGAACAGTGTGTGTTGGAAAGGATCCTAAAGGCTATCTATACCCTCTACTAGCCAGGTTCCTCCAAGCCCTGTCCAACCTGGCCTTGGACACTTCACTTTTCACGTGATCTTTTTGGGCAGCAACTACATCCAAGACACTGCTGAAGAGTTTAAAAAACACCATGATATGAAACCTTTGGAAGTATAAACATACAGATGAAATAACCTCACCAGAAGCACCTATCCCTTTCCAAGGGATATATTATTTTATCTTCTAACTCAAATATGATGAGGTACTAAGTTAAACGGCTTACAAGGAGTATTCTATCCAAACAAGTACTTTCTGTTCAAAAGAATCTAGAGTCCTAAAAGAGAAAAGGCAGCAATTTAGTAGGACAGGATCCCTAAATACATATTGATTGGCATTACTACGTAACACCTCTTAATCGAGTCCTTCACGAGGCGTGTGAGTGTTTTACTTGAGGTTCACAGGGAGGTGAGTAAGCCACACACACCCAGGTCATGTCCTCTGCTCTCCTCCCACCTCCTGGAACTTTCCCTGCTTTACCAGTTCTTATAAAATAACACCCAAGAAAAATTGTTCCTCAGCCAAGTCTATCCAAACTCCAGGATGCAAATTGGCTAAGCATATTAATATTTTAAAAAAGAGGTTCATAACTTCAGGAATTGCTGCTTGGCATTCTCCTGGTTTTCCAGGAGAATTCCATGACCCTCTTCTGCAATAACCCCAACCAGCTGGCTCTTTTCCAGCACAGAGCAGCAGCAGCACCTGAATGCTCCTGCACTACTAAAACACTCCTGAAAACACAAGACTGTGGCATTTTCCAAATTCTTTGTCCTAATTCAGCTCAGAACTGCCTTCAGTGGGTAGAACAAGATCTTTTCATGGGCCAGACAATACAAAGACAAAAACATTAATGCATTTTAGTGGCTGTAGCATTAATATGCAGACAGGACTCAGTTTCTTCATGCAGAAATGCTAAATCTTTATTGTATAGGTAATATTTTATAGGATTACCGGAAGGCACTGTGTCAGATCTTATTGGTGGGCAATATATTCATGCTTAGTTTATGGGTTAGTACATGGTGTTTTGCATGTCTATCAAACTCCTGTATTTATAGTTAGCTTACATGTTTTTTCTACTGATTCCCATGAGACAGATCTTATTATTTATGCAGGTGCTCATTGTTTTTCACCTAAGAATAAGCTGTTGTGTTAACAAACCTTTCATACCTAAGACTGTTTTTGCATGGGAACTTGCAAATTACTTAGCTGTACTTAGAAGAAATGACAGGCTAGCTATAAATTTAACAGAGCAGGCCTGATTTGATGAGTCCTTTCTTTTATAGTTCTTCTACCTGTCTAGAACAAGTGGCCTGAACTAGAGTATGTGTGCATAGATTTATAATAATTTAGTTATGAACATTTCCAGCTACAAAAGCCCTCACTCCATGCTGTGCCGTACTCCTCCTCTTCTTCTGCTGAAGGCCACTTGAGAACTCCTCCCTGCTGCACACAACACATGCTGAGTTATCCAATGCCCATTTCTGACACCTACCATTGCTAATAATGCTCCAAGGCAGGGAATGGGAAGTTCCACCAAGCTCAAAGTCTCTCAGAAGTAGTAACAAAATCCAATGTTTCTCTCAATTAATTGCTAGAACAGCAACTCCATAAGGGCTGAAGGCACCTGACCAAAGGAATCTCAGCCAAGTCCTGGAGGAAAAGCCTCTGTCGGGAGGCCAGGGAGCACCAGACTTCTGTATCTGCCCTCGCTTCCCAAATACCTTGGGCAAGTTACTTCATTTGAGACCTGCAGACACTGGCCTTTCCCAGCCCTGCACACCAGACTGTGCAAGTCTGTGCAGCTTATCTCCAAAAAACATCTTCTCCTGGCTCATTGCTCATCTTTCTCTCCATCTTCATTGCATTAAACAGCAGCCTTGAACGCACGATTGCGCATTGCTCTGATGAAAATACAAAGCCATTCCCAAGCCATGTTGCCAACTCGGGGCTTCCCCAGATGAGGAGTCCCAAATACTGTGGGATTAAATTTGATACAAGAAAACCAAAGGCCTTAAAGGTAGTTTCAATCTGACCAGTAAAAAGAAAACTCAGGAAAGGCTAGGATATCCCACTGACACAGGGAAGGGTTACATGGGATATTAGGAGGAAATTGTTCCCTGTGAGGCTGGTGAGGCAGCCCTGGCCCAGGATGCCCACAGAAGCTGTGGCTGCCCCATCCCTGGAAGTGTCCAAGGCCAGGTTGGACAGGGTCTGGAGCAACCTAGGACAGTGGAAGGTGTCCCTGCCCATGGCAGGGGGTTGGAATAGGATGGGCTTTGAGTTCCCTTCCCTTCCAACCCAAACCATTCCCTGCTTCTCTATCTGCAGTTGCTTAAGAGCAGGAAAACATTCACCCCAGACAGAGGGGATGGACTAGCCCTGAGCCAAAACCTGCATGTTTAGTCCCCTCCTGCCCTACATAAAACCAACGAGAGAGGCACCCAGGTCACACTGGCAGTACTGAGAGACCTGGCCCATGCCAGTGCTGCAGCCCACAGCACCCCAACATGGGCTCCCATGGTGCTGGAAACCCCAGGAGGCTGTGCAGCGCCCACCTGGGACCGTGTGGCACCCGCAGTTTTACCAGAGAATCAGTAATTCCCTGGTAAATAAAAGGAATAATAATAAAAGGAGAGGCCCCACAGGACAGAAGGCTGGGCATGCCAGAGGCTCCAGCATCCTGCAGTCTTCGGGCTTTAAGCGCAGGCCCAGGGCAGGAATGCCGGCGGCACCGCAGATGTTCCATCACAGCTCCTCCTGGCCCTGAGGGGATTTCCTTGATTGAATTTCCTAGGATGCAGCCATGGCAAATGGCTCTTCATCACTCATGAAAGCCACCTAATGAGCCTTCCTGCTTTGATTAGGGCCAGCATTTGCTTTGGAGAACAGCAAATGGATAATACTATTTCCTGGGAAAAGTGCTGGCATGGAAGGACAGAGTGCCTTGATTATTGCTACTGAGTCATGAGGCTGTCCAGCAATCCTGGATCTAACTTCCTGGCTCCCACCACCACAGCAAACAATACCTCATCTTACAACTGCTGAAAAGAACTGGGAGATAAGATAAAAATCAGTCAGTGGGATTAGAGTTGGAAACTGAAACACTGAAGCACACAGAGGCCAGGAATGTCGAGGAATGAATAACCTGCTACAGAATGAAGCCACATCTGGGTCCCCACACTCCCACCTGAATACCCAGCGTGTGCAGACAGCTGTGGATGTGGCTGTAAGAAACCACTTGAAGGAACTCCAAGAAACACAAACACTGCTACTAGCACTAAAGAGCAAAGCTAGATGCTCCTTTCCCTTTGTTTGGTACACAGAGAGAGGCAAGGATTCCAACAGCCATCTAACTTCCATCCATACAAGGGCTGTGATGCTGCTGTGAATTCACACAGGGCAGCTTAGACAGGCAAGCATACTCAAGCAGTGACTTCAAATATTTAAGAACACAAGACATATTGCTATTTGTGAAACTGAGATTAATTTGCAACATGAGTCATAATAAATAAAATATTTCTCTGACATTTTTCCTTGAGCCATTGTGCACTACAAAGCAACAAGCCCCAGCAGAATTATATGTGCAAGTTCACCTGATTTTTTTTTTTTTGCCCCAGGAGGGCCAGAATTGAATTTTCCATTTGATCTGAGCTGAAAAGGAATAATATGTACAGCAAAAATGTGCAGAGGGAATCTGGGATCTGTATAGAAGGGGCAGGAAAAAAGCCCCAGGACATAAATTCAACACTGACAGTACCTGTTACTGCTGAGTTGTTAAGTCATTGTGTTTGTGCAATGGTTTACTCATAACCAAACTCAGGACCTGAAGAGGATGAAGCAGCTTCAGTGAGTTTTGTTACATTGCACCACCAATCCTGCTGGTTCTGCTGGAAGGCACGGAAAACATCTCCTGGCCTGCTGCTTTTACTTTGCCAGGTGGAAGTGCAGGCTCCCTGTGTGGTGCCCTGCCTGGGGCTGGGTTTCCTTACCGTGTGGGGACAGGGACCTCGGTGAGAGCTCCCAGCATGACCGCCTGCTGCAGCCGCACGAAGGCAATGAAGGGGCTCTCCAGGAAATCCACCTCCCCGACCAGCACGTTGGAGGCCTCGGCGTCACGAGGCAACTTCTTCATGAATTTATTCTTCAGCTGCAGCAGTGGAAGAGGAAGGAAAAGAAAATTAAGTTGTGTTGGGCACCTTCTTCTCGTCTCTGCACCTCTGTGCAGCAAGTGTGCATGCTGGCGGACCCTGCAGTGTGCACCCTCGGTCTGGATCCAGCCATGGAGAAATGCCATCACCAGGGAATGGGAAAAAACCACAGCAGCAGCAGCCACTGGGCTCTCAAACTCAGCCTCTGCGAGACGCCTTTGTCTGAACTTCAGCGGCGGCAGAATTAATTTGGAATTGAAGGCTTTTGAAAGCCCTGCCCTCAGCTGGTTCCCAATCTGCCCCCTCTGCCTGGGTGATCTCTGGAGATGCTCTGTGTTTGCCTGGCAAAGGGTGAATGGAGAGGGAGGATGTACTGCCAGGAGCACCAGCGAGAGGGGGACACTGAACTGGGCTGGAATCCCTAATGAGCTGCATGAGGTGACTCGAGGAAGGAGGAAAAAGTCTCGAGAAAATACATGAATTGACTGAACAGGAAGAAAACTGCTGGAACTATCCTACCCCTGCACACTTCAATCAGGATTACCACCAGAAGAAACAGTAAATAAGCATCAATGAGCACTGCGGAGGAAGTCTGGAAGAGCCCTACCAGTTCCTCCACAGAGAGTGTTTGGGAGCATGGTGGTGGTAAAAGAATAATGGAAAGATGGCAAATCCACAACAAACATTTTATTTACCTCACCAGGCTGGCCTTGTGGCTGAACAAGGATCATTCAGCAACACCAGGGCTGGTTTGGACACCCAGCCCAAACTCAGGTGATTCTCTGAGCCAGAACTAACCTGCAGGGTTTCCTGTGCCCACCCCACTCCTGAGGCCAAAGGCTCCAGCCCCTTCCCCCTGCCCAGCACAGCAAACCACTGTCACTAATTTTGAAGAGCTGCCATTATTGTGGTTTTTTTTAATCTCCAAATGAGTTTTGCAGCACCACTCACCACTTTCTTAAATCATTTATCACACAGGTAATGAGTGCAGTCAGCACTTAAAATCCATTCTGAACCATTCCCCAAAGAAGCTTTGGAAAGATCTGACTCCTCAGCAGCATGCAGGAACAAGGGAGAGATGAGGGAACTTCACTTTCCCCTGCCAAATTGAACATCATTCCACCCCGACCACTAATGTTATGTTAAAAGCCACAGGTCTCCAGCACTGTACTTGCAAAAAGGCACAGCAACCCCAGAATCCCAATTTCTTTAAATGTACTGTAGCACTTGGATCATCAACACCACTCTGGACTGACTGGAAATGAAAGCAGCTCCTAAGTACACACTCCAAAGTAGCACTTAGGGAAGGTTAATTCCCCTGGAGCTTGAACCTGTCTGTCTCTCTGTTTTTCTGTATCTGCTCACACATAGATCACATAAGATCACCTGATCACCTTCCCACAGCTTATCCCTTGAACACCTGCCTCCAGGGAAACCTTCCAGACTCCAGGCTGTTCCATCACCCAAGGATGCTTTAGAGGGCCACTGTGGATATGGGGAGAAACCAGGCAGGCAAAAGCGCTCTCTGCATCAAGAAAAACAGCAAAAGTGAAGGAAATTCTGGTTAACTAAACTTTCTAGAAGCTTTTCCTTTCCTCCAGAAGGGTGACATTGATTGTACTGGAAGAGTCATTTTCACTGGAGCTCCGTGGAGTGGAAGTATGTCACCCAGGCTGACAGACCTCAAAATCAGGAATGTTGCTTGCAAGTGGGGGGATGAGAAGATGTTCCAACAGGAAAAGCAGCAATGACTCCCACAATCAATCACAGAACTGCATTCCCAAGGATGGGATCCAGCCAGCGCCTCCCTGTCCATGGGTCCCCAGGAAAGGCAGGAGGGCTTCTCTAAACAAGGTCAATTTCTTTTTTAACTTCAGCGCTGGCTTTGGCACAGATCCCCTGTTGACATGGAAACTCTGGGTTGAATACACAGTGTCTACACCACAACAAATAAGAAGGGTTTTGTGCCTGCCTCTCACTGACCGTATTCATTCAGAGCCAGGCTCGTCCCACATCCAAGCCCTCTGGAAACACAGATAACACCAGGTCAGGAAACTCCCCTTATATCAACATACATTCCCTTTCTTTATGCTGTTGCATCAGCTCAGGAATAGCAGGTCCCTGGGAAAATACATTTCCTTTCATGTCCCCTTTATTTCACATGTTGAGCACTGAAGGAGTCCTGGTGGCTCAGCCACTCGGAGCTGCCAAGGACATTCTAACAGAGCACAGCCAAAGGATTTCTTGCAGCAGGAGGGACTGGAGTGTGACCAGCAGTAGGAACTTCCCCAGCTTCCTACGGTCTGCTGGCACTACGGCACCAGAGGGGCTGAGAAAGCATCTACCTGACTCTTTTCAGCCACACTCCTTCACACATAAGCTGAAAAAAAAGAGTAAAATGTTTTTTTTAGATATTAAGATGTGGCTGCCCCATCCCTGGAAGTGTCCAAGGCCAGGCTGGACATGAGCTGGAGCAGCCTGGTCTAGTGGAAGATGGACCTGCCCATGGCAGGGGGGGGAATAGGATGATATTTAAGATCCCAGTCCATTCTGAGATTCTGTGATTCTATGAATACGGTGCTAGTGAAAAAATTTAATCCAACAACTTGATGTTCAGGAGCTGGAAGAATTCCCCAGCTGTGAGAGACCCTGGTTTTATGGGCATAGCTCCAGCACCACTGGTGTATCTGGCAACAGAGAGCTGGGAGCCCAGGAGAGGGCAGGAAGTCCAGATGCTCATTTATTAGCTGCTATACAGAAAAGAATAATAAATTGTCCCAAAATGCTGCTTGTCTCTCCAGCTGCAAATGCCCAGGGCATTAACTGCAGCCAACACTTCCTAAAATACGACAAATGAAGGCAAATCAAATCCCTTCTCTGTGCTGCTACCTCAGGAGCAGAGCTCTGCCAAAGCAAACACAACGAAAGGGAATACACCTCCTCTTCCCCAGTTACCTTTATAAAAAGCCAAGCAAGCCCAAAGCAAAGAACATGACAAAAGAGCAAAGCCCCACTCTGTGGGCCCTTGCTGAAGCTGTTTCTCATCAGAGCAGTTTGGGTCAGGGCCTTGGTGGCTTCTGCAGGATCCTGAGCCAGCCTCTTTGCAATCCCAGTGGATCCAGCCACCATTCCCACGGCAGGGAGAGCTGGCTGATGCAAACTCCCTGATTCAGCAGGCCTAAGGAACACCCCTGAGCCAGGCAGAGCTGTCCCTGGCAGGAGGGATGAATCTGGGAGGATTGATTCTCTGACAGATCACATCTCTGACGTGCATGTGAAACCTGAACCTTTCAACATCCAGAGAAAAGGAGCAGGAATGCTGCAGATTAGAGGAGTATGGCTGGCTATGAATTCCCTAGATTATCAGCTGCACCATTCCAAAGAGCACTAAAGGCTGCAGAACTGAATATTAATGATGTAGGAAGACAGGAAAAATCACTGAAGGTACAAAGAAGTTTGGTCAAAGCATTTTTTCCTCTGAAACACAGGCATGCAATCCTCTACCTCTGTAAAACCAGGGATTGATTAACGATGCAGGAAGGCAGTCCTGCTTGTACAACTGCTACAGACTGACCACACCCCTCAGAGTTCTTACACACACACACACAAATAAATAAGAAGTGGGATGTTCTGTGGCTCCAGCAGACTCCCCCCTGCCTGTATGGCCTTACTAACTGTCCAGCTTCCAGATGGGATGCCCAAATAACAGCAGCCAGTCTCCCTGCTGCCAAGGCAAGTGAACCTTCTCCCTTTGCAGCTCCTGTTGTGGTAACAGGATGGATTATTGCTGTGCGTGCTGTGTGACACGCTGAGTCCTGCTCAAGAAAGCTGCCAGGCACCATCACAATGCCACAAACTCAATCAAGGCAGGACTTTGAGTCGATCAGCCACAAAAACTGAGCTCTAAGGTGATGTCTCAAGGTGCAGGAGGACAAGGCTCCCACTTTGTGCAAAGTTCATCAGCAGGACAAGGGCTAATTAACTGAGGATTTTTGGAACTGTACATTTAGCAAGAAACACTTCTCACTATCAAGAGCCAGGCATTATGTACACTGGAGGTTAAAAACTTTGGCGCCTGCTCCCAGCTGCATCTATTAACAGATTTCCCTGTTAGTGCTACCAAAACATCTATATTTATAGCCAATTCTCCACAAAAGTCCATTATCTGAGTTTCCAGAGACAGGAGGGGCAGTGGAGACAGCTGCAAAGCTGCAGCCACGCTCAGTCCCAGCTTTGGGCTGGTCTAGCATTAAAACCACAATTACAACGGGATTAAAAATATAACACAGCAGCGTATCCAATGACAAAAAGCTATTTAACAATCCTCCTCCTTCCCCAGGTGTGGCTGTGTGTACTAAAGGAAACAGGTATTTTGGAAACAAAACCAATACAGGTGATAGAACATACTACAACACTGCATGACACTGAGGTCAGTGCAAAACACGCTGCTCCCCTTCCCTTTCCATGGAAAGTGCATTTCTTTAGGCAAATATTTATTTCTTTTTAAAATATTTACTTAGTCTGAACTCATTATTTTACCTCACTTATGTTGCTGTGTCTCTTTCAGGACACACTTACAGAAGACTGTGACCAGCCATTGATGAAGGATGGGCATCATCCCCAACTGGCCAGCAATGCTGTGCTACCCAAACAGTTTTCCAAAGTGACTCTCATTGGCATTCAGAATCACCATGGGACTAGGGAATGCTGGAAGATGCAGCCAAAAAAAGAGAGATTCTGCGAGAGAAACAACCAGGCTTTGAGAATAACCCACTTTTTGAACCCAGACAAAGGTTTTTTTGAAACTTGCACAGAGACCTCATTCAGCCACCAGTTTTTCTAAGAGTTGGAATAAACTTACTCTTACCCCTCAGAACCGGCAGCCTTCAGAAAGGACGGAAGCACACACAAAGGCAGCCCGTATGCCACACCACAAACATTACCCTGGGCTAAGAAAGAGGTCAAGTCCATGGAGATTTGTCACTGGAGGCCAATTTTAACTCCATTCCTGACTGCATTTTGGAGCTGCTCTCCCACATCACCTATCAGCACAGACACTTTCCTGCTGGGACGTGCAAGGGGAGGTGGCACCTTTGTACCACCAGCTGCTGCAGCAGGGACACGTTTCCCTGAGTGCTCCTGCTCTACCCCAGAGTTCCTGTGAACATTCAGCCCAGGGTGCTCCTCTGCAGACCCTTGTAAGCCCTCAGCAGGAAGAGGATCCAAATTCCATCACTCCCAGGGTATTTTATCTCCTTTCTCATGGGGATCAGCAAGATGCCATTTATGTGGCATCACGTGCTTCAGACCTTGTAAGAGATGAGCCTGCTGTTTGCAAGGGTTGGTGCTTAAAGAGTGGAGGAACCAGTCACAGGACTCAAAAATACTCACTCCTCTTCATTTTCAGGGCTAAGGTACAGAGGAGCCCTTTCCCCAGCATCCAGCTCCTCTCCAAACTCATCCCCAAGAGCAGGCCTGGAGCTCACCTGGTCCTTCTCAGGCTTGTCCGAGATGTCATTGAGGCTGGTGGAAGTCAGGTTTCGGTGAGCCATGGCCGGGCTGCCTGCAGGAACAACGTCAACACCAGTTAAAGCACCTGCTTGGATCCACTCAGAACGCAGAGGCTCAGGCTACAGCAACACCTTTCCCTGGGAGGCTGATGTGGGGGATTCCAGACCCTGACAAGCTGCTTTCTGTCACTTCATGTGGCACTAATGCTTCGTCACCACTGACCCACAGCAATCCATTGATTCCCAGGACAGCAAAAGAGTCCAAGGACATTCCATAATGCCTGCCTGTGGGAGCAAAGCAACGCAGCACCACACTGCTGGCCAGCTCACCCAGGACCCACCACAAACTCATCTCTCCACAGAGTTGGGACCTTCCAGGGTGCAAATCCCTGGCCAAAGCCCCCCTCAGCATCCCAGACTCTGCACACAGCAGGTAGAGAGGGAGGGTGGCAGCTGCTGCTCCTTTGAGACAGCCCCTAATGAACGCCTCCCTCGCTCCAAGCAAGCTCATTAACTAAGCTCAGGAACCTTATGCATCTCACTGATTAAAACAATGTGTGTGCCACACTGACAGGCCAGGAGTCACCAATTCCTGACACCAGATTCTCCAGAGAGGTCAAGAAACTCTCCAGGGACACAGCAAAATAATTAAATTTACAACAACCCATAACACAAACAACCAACAAACCAACAGTAAACAAAGACTTCTGGGATGGATACAGGATCGGAAATCACAGTGGTCAGTGTGAACAGTAAAAATTATCCTGAAATGTTCCCATCCCTTCTCATCACGTTTGCAGGAACCTGAAACACAGAACCAGGAGCCACTTCCAGCAACATCAGCAGAGCCAAAGCCAAGCACAATTAGACAAGTCATGTTCTACAAAGGGGGATCCCCCTTCAACTCTCCCTGCTGTTATTTAAGACCCCATTTAGCTGCTATTTTTTCCAGATTACATCACTTGTTTTCTTTGTTTATTAGATTCCAAGCTGACTGTTCCCTGGGATATAATGACCCTTCTCCCAAGAGGAGGAGGCTTTGTGCTTTTCTCTCCCCTTGCTAGCAGCTTCCTTTTCCTGGGGAGGGTCAACATAGCCACACAAACTCAGAGCAGCTCCAAACAAACCTTCTCCAAATGGACTCCACATAGCCACACAAACTCAGAGCAGCTCCAAACAAACGTGGAGTGCAAAGTTTTGGCTGCTGAGACCCCTGTGGAGGATTTCTGGCCCACAACACTCACCCTTACAATGTTTGCTAACAAAGGATCATTTCCTGACCCAGACTCAATTCCCATTCCTGTCTCTCTGGCAAAGGTGACCTGAGCCTGTCCATGGCCGTGCTCAGCCAAGGACTAGTGAGAGAAGTACAGTGGGCAGTCCAAAGCCCTCCATGCCATGACCTCGTCCTATGAATCAGCTCCATAGTCATCTGGCAAGGGGAATGTCCTGGAATTCAGACTTCAGTCACTTGTCATGATAACCAAAGAAGAACACCTTTGTGCTACCAGTGCCATAAGCTGTGCCTTCCTGGGAGGAGTGGTGTGCTCCTCTGGGATCAGCAAGGCTCCCTGACACAGGGAATCAGACAGGAGTGGTGCCAGAGACCTGTCCAGCTCACACCAGAGAGATCAAGCTGGCAGACTATTTCTGAGGATAATTTATATGAAAATTTAAATATTTAAGGCCCTTTAACAGTCAAAGGATACTTCAAGAGATAAAAAAACAAAGTGCCAGCAGCCATCTTAGGTTTCCCTTCGAAGAGAGAGTATGGCCTGACCTACCTGCTTCATCCCAGATGAAGGAAAGAAGGAAAACAGAATGAAACAGAGCGATGGAAGGGACAGTGGGGATAACAGGACCAGCCAGAGCAGCACACCCCCACAGAACACATGCATGCTCTCCCCACAGTTAAAGCAGCAGCAAGCGTTAGAGCCAGGCTGGTGCGATTCCCTCTGCCATCCCTGCTGGCCCATTCTGCCCGGCTGGTGCCATTCCCTCTGCCATCCCTGCAGGCCCAGCCTGCCCGGCTGGTGCCATTCCCTCTGCCATCCCTGCAGGCCCAGCCTGCCCGGCTGGTGCCATTCCCTCTGCCATCCCTGCTGGCCCATTCTGCCCGGCTCGTGCCATTCCCTCTGCCATCCCTGCAGGCCCAGCCTGCCCGGCTGGTGCCATTCCCTCTGCCATCCCTGCTGGCCCATTCTGCCCGGCTCGTGCCCTTCCCTCTCTCACTGCTGCAGGCCCAGCCTGCTCGGCTGGTGCCATTCCCTGTGCCCCTGCTGCAGGCCCAGCCTGCTCGGCTGGTGCCATTCCCTGTGCCCCTGCTGCAGGCCCAGCCTGCTCGGCTGGTGCCATTCCCTGTGCCCCTGCTGCAGGCCCAGCCTGCTCGGCTGGTGCCATTCCCTGTGCCCCTGCTGCAGGCCCAGCCTGCTCGGCTGGTGCCATTCCCTGTGCCCCTGCTGCAGGCCCAGCCTGCTCGGCTGGTGCCATTCCCTGTGCCCCTGCTGCAGGCCCAGCCTGCTCGGCTGGTGCCATTCCCTGTGCCCCTGCTGCAGGCCCAGCCTGCTCGGCTGGTGCCATTCCCTGTGCCCCTGCTGCAGGCCCAGCCTGCTCGGCTGGTGCCATTCCCTGTGCCCCTGCTGCAGGCCCAGCCTGCTCGGCTGGTGCCATTCCCTGTGCCCCTGCTGCAGGCCCAGCCTGCTCGGCTGGTGCCATTCCCTGTGCCCCTGCTGCAGGCCCAGCCTGCTCGGCTGGTGCCATTCCCTGTGCCCCTGCTGCAGGCCCAGCCTGCTCGGCTGGTGCCATTCCCTGTGCCCCTGCTGCAGGCCCAGCCTGCTCGGCTGGTGCCATTCCCTGTGCCCCTGCTGCAGGCCCAGCCTGCTCGGCTGGTGCCATTCCCTGTGCCCCTGCTGCAGGCCCAGCCTGCTCGGCTGGTGCCATTCCCTGTGCCCCTGCTGCAGGCCCAGCCTGCTCGGCTGGTGCCATTCCCTGTGCCCCTGCTGCAGGCCCAGCCTGCTCGGCTGGTGCCATTCCCTGTGCCCCTGCTGCAGGCCCAGCCTGCTCGGCTGGTGCCATTCCCTGTGCCCCTGCTGCAGGCCCAGCCTGCCCGGCTGGTGCCCTTCCCTCTGCCATCCTTGCTGGCCCAGCCCGCCCCAGCAGTCCCACACTTACTGAGCCATCCCACGCTGGGGCTGCGCTGCACTCCCAGTTCATCGTCCAGCGTGCGCGTGGCCAGGCAGGGCACGGAGCTCTCCAGCGGGCTGCGTGCTTGTGCCGGCAAGCAGGAGACGGGAGCAGCAGCAAAGAGCAGGAAGAGAGCAAAGGGGAGAAGTTAAAAGAAAAGAAAAGAAAATTATGGCAGAAAGAAAGGCTCAAGCAGTGGTACAGGGAAACCAGGCAGGAGAGAAGGTTTGAGCTGCAGAGTGCGGTCACCAAAGCCCACTCATTTAGATCCTGACATCTCCTCACAGCGTTCACTCGGCAGGGCTGGACACAGCTTTGCATCCCTGGTGTATGAAATTCAGGCATCTTTGAAGCAGATCTCATGGAAGTGAGTGAGCAGCTGCAGTGCTGGTGGCACTGAGCAGTTCCAGGCTGCAGCACCATCAGTAACAACAGGTTCCTCAAAATAAAGATCACATCATGTCCCAGGAGCCAACTTTGAGCATCCTGACCCCATCTGTACACAATCAGGCACACCAATCCAGACTTGGAAATGCTCACCTTAGTCTGCAATGCTTCCAGTGATGCCAATATACACACTGATAGGGGTTTTCCAAACATTCCTTGGACACCACCTCATTTCTGGTATTGTTCAGCTGATGCCACTGTTCAGCTATAAAGGCACTGAGGTCCCAGTTCATGTGAAAAGCTCGGGACTCATTAATGCTGAACCAGAGGAGCCATGGCTGCCCCATCCCTGGAAGTATCCAAGCAACAGGGCTTGGAGTAACCTGGGCTAGTGGAAGGTGTTCCTTCCAGGCAGTGCCTAGAACAAGATTATCTTTCAGCTCCCTTCCAACCCAAACTCCTCTAGGGTTCTAAAGTAGAATAAAACCTTTCTCCCCCTGCAGCCAGGCACCCTCCTGTCTGTGCCTCAGTTGACACCTTGCCAACAGCCTTCTATTCCCACTCAACTTGTTTCCAAGCCATGCTACCAGCATAGTGTGAACAAACAGTGCTCAGGAGGTGTTTAGGCAGCACCCACGCCGTGATGGGACCGTGCCATTATTTATGGCAGTTAAACACACACACTTGAACACATCACAGTTTTCTACAGGCTCTGCCAGCTTGAGTTTAGCAGTATTTAATAACTTCTCACTTGCCAAAGGCTCCCACAGGTGTTAAATTATACAAAATGCTGGCAGGCATGAAGCTCTGAAAGAAAAATCTCAAAATGGAAAGCAAATGTTATCACAGAAGGCTGGTAAATATTGGTCAGTCCTCGGGCACCTGCAGAAGAAATGGGGACCACAGATCCCATGTTACAGCATGGCAAAGCCCAAGGTGTGCCAGCTGGAGAGCTGCTAGCCCAGGTGCCACGTACTGCTCCAGGGGTGCAGGACAAGCGCTGTGCCAGGAAGGGATACAAAGAATTCTTCAAAAGCCACTCAACAAAACCAGACACACACAAAAACCCCTGCAGGGGTCTCATCAACATGCAAATATCCCTGCTGAACATTTCATCCAGCTCAACCTTCTACCAATGAAGCAAGAAAAAGGGCTGTGTCTTCACAAAGTAACGTGGAGGGATTGCTTAGTCCAAATTTGTATGCCCAGAATTTTGGCAATTATCTTTTTCCTACTGAACAGACAGCAAAGGAGTTCTGTGATTTATCCTCCTCCATCCATGGCACACAAGGAACTACCCTCTTTTCCCAATTCCTTTCCCAGAGCAAAGGGATGATTCCTGACAAAACATCCTGCCACAGCATGACCCACATCAGCCTCTACGATGCAGCAATGGAGAGCAGCTGTCAGAGCACACTATGGCTGTGTCTCTGCCCATCTGATCACTTTCTTACCTTCAAACAGAGCAGTGACACCCAAGATGGGGGCTGAGGATGACTTGTCCAGGGACCACAGAGCCACCCCCATCCCTAGAGAGGGTTGGGAAAGGATAGAGATGCCCCAGGTTAGAGATGATCCAGTTACGGCAGGGAGACGGGCAATATATCTCTCTTTCTTAGGTTCCTGAATTTCTAGAGACATCTCGGATAACTGCATGGGGCTCATCATCTCAGAAGTCAAAAATAAGAACATTTTGGAGGTCCTAAGACTTCAGTTATTTTAGTGCTCTGACCCAAGTAAGACAGAGCCACCGCAGGATTTTTTTGAGCTACGGCCCAGGGTATATTTCCAAATTTCAGACCTAGCAAACAGATCCCACCCCTGGAAGTGTTCAAGGGCAGGCTGGCTGGCTTGCAGAAGGTGTCCCTGCTGAGCCAGTCAAGCAGGGGGCAGCTACACCAGCCTGTAAAGCTGTTGTGCAGAGGGCAGGCAGATGCTCAGACCTTTTGGATGGAAGTTTCACTGACACTGAGATGAAAACAAACACCTACCTGGAAAGAAACTCAAGGGGAATTTAGGAGTGCTTGGGGCTGGTGGCACAGCCATTATGGTGATTAGCTATGCTAGGAGACAGCTGCACTCCCGTTGGCCTCATATATTTTTTATCTGTTTAAAGGACACATGAGACACCCACTGAATCCAAGATATAACCCGATCAAACAGATTCTGTAGTTACTTTTCCATTGAAGTGTAAATAATAAATAACAGTAACAACCATTCATCAGGTATTTCCCCCATGTGCCAGTCTTGCCCTCCTCAAAGTCTCAATGCACTTGTACTGTCATGGAACAGAGTGTGTTATACATCCTCAGAGCACATCAATATCCCAGGTGGGAGAACAGAGACAGAACAACATAAAAGGAGTGCTGATGGCCAGACCAGGAAAGAATTCCTGGAGAATCAGCCCAGCTGAGCCAGGACCTGCACAGAGCATTCAAACAAGAACAAGAAACGAACAAAATTTAAATCACTTAAAATCCAAGTAAAGAAGGCCTTTAGCCATGGAAAATGAGCAGGAGTAAGAATGTGAGGAATGCCCTTTGTCAGCATCACTGTTCCTAGGACAAGCTCTGCCTATGTGCAGGAAAAGGGGCTTGCAGCCGAGAACTGAGGGCATCCCCTACAAGAGGTGATGGAAACACCTGAGCACCAGGAGCTGAAATCTTGTGTGTCTGGGGCTCAGCCTCCCACAAACCATGGCCACAGGCCAGGGTTCTGCTCCCCACAGCAAACCTGGCCATCAAAGGTCCAGAAAGGCTCAGAGACACGGAGGTGGTAACAGAAAGCAGATCCCTTCCCTCCACACCATGGGGAGCACACTGTGGGAAGGCATCCAGAGGGCCAGGCGGGCTGGGGCTTGTAGCAATGTGGTCCAGCAGGAGTCCCTCCATGACTCCTCCAGCTATAGCACTCATCTGGCCACGCTGTCCCTAAAGCTGTCATTTCCTCCCAGTGCTCTCCCTAGATCCCAGTCCCTCCCCTCTCCACTGGCACTTTCCATGTGCCAACAGGGCACATCCTGCAGGGATGTTCACTGAGAACACTCCCTTGGTTCACATTACTGCACCTTGCCTTACTTGCTCACTCACCACCTTATCAAGGCAGTGGACACGACAAGAGGCATCACGCAGAGCAAGGAACAGTCTCCACATGCACACACTCCTGCTGCAAAATCAAAGCATGATCCAAGGTAGGAAATATTAATGATGTGTGAGAATAGGTTAGGGAGGAATGTTAGGGTGAGTTTTAGAAGCCAAACACAGCAAGCTAAGAGGCCTTTGGTGGAGCAAGAAGAAAATAATTTCTTCACTTGCTTTTATTTTCTGGGTGTTTTAAAATGGCAACTTTTAGTCCAATTTCCAGACTGCCACAGGAGACAGTCAAGAGAACTCCAAGGCGTGAGAAGAGGCATAACTCTCCTCTTTTTTTTATTACCATGAGCAAGAAGACCCCAAATCTCCACCCAGGGGCAAGCACTGATTCAGTGCCCAGGCCTCTGTACCTGTCTGCATACACACACACACACACACACGTTTAGGGACACCACTACCAACGTGGCACTAACTACTACACCTTTTTTAGAGGGAACAGGACACATATTCACAATGCACACCACAAAATTATTTGAGGATGAATAAAGCAAGATGGAAATCAGCTTTACCCCACTGGACAATGATTGTATGGCAATAAAATGCAAGCTAGGTGTTACTGCCAGGTCATTTTTGATTCACAGTGCCACCGACACTGTTACAGACACAGAATGTGCACAGAAGCTTGGTTTCTGCCCAAATGTTTCAGGTGATCAGCCTTTTAAGGTTCAGGCCCCACCAAAGTCTGTGGCGAATCTCTCTTTCCTATCGCTGCTCCTAAACCATCTCCTGGACACCAGCTGCCCTCCTGCCTGCCCTGCAGTCCCTGCCAGTCCAGTGAAGGTGTGGTTAGAGCACCGTGCCAGGGCCAAGCAGCCTGCAGAGCCCCTGCTGATGCGCCATCAGCACGGCCTCGCTGCTCCTGGGGTTAGGAAGCGGGGTCAGGGCCACGCAGTTAGTTCTGGGCGGGCGGGTTGCCATGACAGAGAAGGCCATAGCCAGGTAGCCTCTGCATTACCATTATCAGGGTTGGAAAACATCCTACTTGCACTGGAGACGGTCTTTCCAATGTCAGCCAGCGAGCGCAGGTTGGATTTCTTGGTCTGGTGCCGGTGCTTCCTGAGCAGCGTGTAGGTGACCTTGTCCTTCAGCTCGGGTTTCAGCAGCCCCGTCTCGATCTGATTGTCAACGATCATCTCTGTGCCGGCACAGGAAGGGGGAGGGAGGAAAGGGACAGCAAAATTAACCACCGAGCTCAAAACCGCTTCCAGGGAGAGCACAGAGAGAGGGCTTGGAGGCATTTTCACCCTGCCTTTTTGAAGGCTTTCTTACCACCTCAAAGCCAGCTTTTATTTATATGAAAACCTCTTTTAGACATTCCTTTTGAAACAGAACAGAAGCATTTCCATCCAGCATGAGCCACTAACACACACCTCTTGCACTCAAATTCCCTTCTGCTATTTCCCACATGCCATAGAGCCTATTTCAAAGACCAGGGTAAGATAGGTCTTAGCTCAGAAATGGAATCCCCTCTGAGCCTGGACTTTTGTGAGGATGCTATTCTAAGTTCCACGATGCTCCCATAAAGCACACAGAAAATCTTCAATCAGATTCAACAAGGCCTGAGTTCACCTTGCAGGCCCCCAGTAAAACCTAATCTAAAGATAGGAAGAAGTCCTGGAGATGAGCCACTAATTAAATTATTCACTTGCAGGACTGAAGTGATGGCAACTACAAGTGGCAGAACTTGCTCCAGTTACCACAGGATGTATTATATGGCTTTACTTTTCATGGAGTCACCAGGAGAAAAGGCCTCCAGCGCCCTCAATGCCTGCTCACTTCCCATCAATTCCCTCCTTTCTCCTCCCTTATCCCAGAAGAAAAAGGCAAAAAAGGTGGCCAGACTTATGAAGAATGTCCCCTGCGCAGAAAGTCTCGCATGAAGCTGTTCCCTCGGTGACTCAAGTTCATGTGCTGTCCCCCCGAGGGCAAGTGGCAGCTCATATTTGTCTGCTGGTAACTTTTATTTGTGCTAATAATAAAAGTTATGGCAAGGGGGAGGCAGGACACGCATCACATTTGCTAACTCAGTGAGTCAGAAAGTCATCCTCGACGTGCTGCTCAGAATTAAAGCCTCTCCAAATCCCCAAGGAAGCACCTAGCTCTTCCTCTCAAATTAAGACAGGGTGGGCAAACGCACGTAGGTACCCTTACACAACATGCTTGGCAAAAGGCTGACCTTTGCTAAATGTTATATTAATACAAGCTTTTCTTGCTCATGGTTTTGGTTAGTGATTTTTGGAATACTTCCTTCCAAACCTTCATTCAAGTTTATCCTTCTCTATCTGGCACTTCCCTTCCCTGTTGCTGATAAAAGACGAACAACAAAGAGAGTTTTCCTTTGGAGTGTTCCTTTCCTTTGTGTCACTACCAGACACCAGCCCAGTGATCATGATTAAATCATCCTGGAAATCCAGTGCTGGATATCCCTACCTGTCTGATTAAGGGTCTGGACCAGCAAAAACACCCTGCTCAGGACAGTGTCACAGCAACAGCAGCCACGATGTGTAATTTAATCTCCTAGGAATTAAATTTAATTTGGGGGTTGAAGAAGGAGATTGAACTTGACGTCTCCAAGGAACTTCAAAAGAAAATTTAATGTTTGAGGGTTTAAAGTTTTGGACCATGAACATCAGCTTCTGAAGCAGGTTCACCTTCAGTAGAAAACTTGAGAGGTTCTTGGGGGGTTTATTTTGTTAAAAGTTTGCAAAGCTGTGCTTTTGGATACACAGACACAAAAGCAAAGATGTCACCAAAAGCACCTGCAAAACTACGATCAAACTCTGTATTTAACACCAGAAGCAGCTGTAATTCCAAGTCTTACAATCCAGTGTATGGGAGAATTCCATGGCAGGATAATTTTGAGCTTACTTCCTGAGACGATCATTCAAAGCACTGAGTTTTGGCAGAGGAAGTACTTAATTTTGCTCTTTAAGATCTCCTCATGTAATGGCTCTTAAACTCAGCATTTTGGTTAAATGTCCCTCCACTGGATGGCTCACTTGGAAAAGTTATTTTCCCTAACTTCTCACACACCATGGGCAACGCGATGTGGCTCTCAGCATGTCACCGAGCGTCACTCTGGGCCACAGCTGATTTGACTGTACAAAACCTGCCCTCCCACTCTGCAGAGCAGAGCACCAGCTGGTGCTAGGGGTGCTCTCCCCTCTCCCTTGCTGGGGGCTCCTAAACACAGCCCCACCTGCCCTCAGTGGGCAGCTGAACACCTCACCCAAGAGGAGTTCCTGGCCCAAGATGTTCTGCCTGAACAGTACCTGATGGGTGTCTCTGCCCCCAGACACGTGGCCCTTTCATGTGTCACCTTTTCCATAGTGAACATAAATTAAATTGATGTCTTTTGCTCTTCTTCCTGCACTGAGAAGGACCCTTTTCATCTATCTGTTATCTTTCTGCAGATACTTTCTAGTTTCCCCCTCTTATTCCTTGTTCTTTCTTTTTTTTCTCTCTTTTATTGGAAAAGCAGTGCTTTTTCATTAAAACCACCCATAAAGCCATACCAGGATTAAGAAAAATTTGTGGGGAAGTGGTGAGAGAAAGAGCCATGGCAGGTGTACTTACCCACCACCTGTGGGAGGGAAGAGGCCTCCATATCCAGCATGATGGAGCCCTTCTCTATGCACGTCCTCAGCTCGAACAGGCTGTGCAGAGACAAGGTGGCCACGTGCGGTTTGCTCCATCGCTCCCCACCTTGCTCCACCTTCTCCTCAAACTTGATCCACCTGCAACGGGCCAGAGCAATGACATGGGGTTAAGGCTGTTGCCTCCTTGCAGGGAAATAAATCATGTGAATGCCTTCACTGTCTTGGCAGTTCTGGTTTAATGGTTGGACTCCATCGTCCTGGAAGGCTGTTCTGAGCTAAATGATTCTGTGATTCAGTTTCAGGCTATAAAATATGGAATCATCCACTGGCAAGATGGAGGTAGCATGGAATACTGCTGTCCCATACCCACAGGCTGACAAAGGAGGGAAGAGAGGAGCACAAGCCAGCCATGTCTGAAGGCACTCTTAGAGAACAAATGAGCCACCAAAGGTGAAGGCACCAATTAAGGAGCTCATTCTTTCCCTCCAGCTGCTGTTTAATTATTTAACCAAGCAGGTCTGAAAATCCCAGAAAACTTATCTCTAATGGAAGGTGAGAGCAAAGGGTAAATCCTGGTTGTGCAAAACACTCTTTACACCCCTAGAACTACATCCCAACAGCAGGGAAGCAGGAGGCTCCATGTCCCCAGGCTCCAGCCCACCCCCAGCTCCCCCTGCAGCCTTGACCCTGCCCTTGGCCCCGCAGCGCACAGGGATGGGCAGCAGGGATGGAGCACAGGGCTCCTGGGAGGCTGGGGCATCTCAGCTGGCCCACACCTTCTTCCTCACCACAGCACCCAGCAACAGCTCTGGTGTAAACTGGGGGTGCAGGAAAATGTGATTCAGTATGCCCTAATGGCAAGGCAGAAATGCTTTTTAATCCCCCCTTCAGACACCATTTTAATATATGTGGAAAACAAAAATTCCAGTGAGCAATATAAAGGGATTATTAAGAAAAAACCCCACACACATAAGGTAAGGAAGCTCATAAATTTGTTCAAAAGAATACTATTAACAGCAAGTGAAATTATCTTTAATCCTGAAAAATGTATTACTTGAACATTAATCAATTATGCTTCACAATTGAAATAATCTCTTTTTGAGACTTGGTTTTTTTAAAGCTGCTTTTTAACTCAAGATAAAAGACTGATTTTCATCTCCAATTAATAAAGTCCTTTTAGTTCACAAAAACTGAGTGTTTCCTAGGACACCTGAGGGACCTGGGTGGATGCAAATCTGTGCACTTCAGGGGCTTTGTGTGGAGTTATATTTACCCTGTTACAGCAGGAAGGCTGCAAATTACCAGTGTTTGTCCTTCCAGGGAAAGTTATTACTCACAACTATCAATATTTGCTTTTTGTTTACTTTTCTCACTACAACCCACAGACCAGGCACAATACACCTAACATGAACTTGCAAACCTGGGTGAACAAATGCCTGCTCGATTCCCACCATCAGAGAGTGGTGTGGGTTGGGAGGGAGCTCACAGCTCACCTAGCTCCAAACTGCTGCCATGGCCAGGAACACCTTCACTCAGCAGCCTGCTCTACCATGGGAATGCCTGCATGACAGTGTTGGACTACGGGATGGTGGATGCAGGATTTTTGAACTTCTGTTATGATGTTTTTTGTTGTATAAGCTGTGCCAGGAATTACATTTTCACCCTTTTACACCTGATAATATCAATACAGCTTTCACGGGGCTGCTGGGAGTGAGGAGCAGCAGGCAGAAGGAATGTGTAGGTGTCAGAACAGAGCAGGAGGGAGATGAGGAAGGTAATTTCATTGTTTGCTTTCTCAAATATGAGTGCAGCCTTTAGCCCTGCACCGGAGTGCAGGCAGCACTGCTCTCCCCCGCTGAGAGCTGTGCAGTTCTACACTGGGGCCAGGGGAAGCATCAACACCACGAGGTCTCTTCTGCCCTCTCCTCTCTCCTCCACTGGCACAGCTCTGCACTTTTTCCTGTGTTCAGTACCTGCTCCTGCAACTTCCCAGTTTTGGGAAGAGAGCTGTTCTGCAGCAGCAGATGTAAAACAACCCCAAAACACTCAGCAACTCTCAGGAGGTTTTATGGTGCAAGATTAAGTAATTTCAGAAATGAACTGAAAAATCCTGAACAATCAGACACTTTGTAAGATCACTATCCACAAAGGCAGGAGGTTGGGCCAATTTAGAAATTTAACAGCACTTCAACAGGATGCTTCATTACATTCTGTGTCATTTATACAAACAATCATGGATCCATTCAGGTTGGCAAAGTCCTCTACGATCATCCAATCCAGACATTAACCCAGCAAAGCCAAGGTCACCACCAACCCATGTGCCTAAGCATCACACCCACACATTTGTTAAATCCCAGGAGAGAGGAGGACTCCACCACTACCCTGAGCAGACACCCCTATGGGTGAAGAAATTTTTCCTAATATCCAGCCTAAACCTCCCCTGGCACACCTTGAGGCTGTTTGCTCTTGTCCTGTGGTTTGCTGCTTGGGATAAGAACCCTGCAGAGAACCCCACACACAGCTCAGTGCAGCACTCCTACTAAAAAAGTGTAAAAAGACCTAAATCAGGAGGTGCTAAATTCATGGTAAGAGGAAAGAACAGCAATAAAGGGAGAAAAAGGATGAGCAACAAGCCAGAAGTTAAGAGAGTAAAAGGTGAAAACTCATTAGTTCCCCAAATGACTGAGAAGCAAAAATAAATTAAGATAAGAGGTAGGTGGTGGAGCAGCTTCATTAAATCACAGGTAAAGAAGATTAGGGTGACCAAACAGGGGCTAACTTTGAACAGAGACAGTGCCCTTAAGAGGGGGAGGTGGGGAAAAGCTTAGCCAGCCACCATAAAGGAAAACCCCCAGGCTCAATGAGGAAAATTGGGAATAGATCAGTGGTGTTCAGATATAAACTACATGGAACTCATAGCAGCCAGACCCCAAAAACACCCCAGCTTTTTTGTCATGGCTTTTTGACCAAACTAACAGCAGCATCAAAGAGCCCAACCAAGGAACTCAAAGCAAGCATCCCCATCCAGCATTTAACGTGCATCTTGAATAATTTCTTCACAAGAAAATACCTTAAAGCTTTTTTCCTATTTAAAACGAATTCCATCAGTAACTCACTAGGACAGGGACAGCCTGTCCCTGTGAGGTGGGACCAAGCTCAAAAGCCACTTTGGGGCAATAGTACTGAAGCGGTTTTGACTCGGCCAAATTGGAATTGGCAACTTCTGCCAATTCCGGCTGAGACATGTCCCCCTTTGCAAAGCACTACTGAGCCCCTACTTTTCTCTCCACAGGCAAACTATTGCAATCCATCTGGCACTCTCTTGTTTCCCTAATTTTTCTTTTGGAATATTTAAGCAAACCCTAAAATTTACCAAAGAATGGTAATTTGAACCATACAGGCTCCTTCCTGCGGCTTCCCCATGCGATGCTGCAGCACGGGTATGTGCTAAAACAGGAATTTCCCATGGAAAGCACTGCTGGCTGCCCTTCCCTTTGGGGGTAAAGGAAAACCAACCCACCTTGCAGTCTCCTTCCACTCCATCTCCTGTCCATCGACAGCCAGAAGCTCGTCCAGCTCGGTGAAGAGCTGCGGGGGCGCGGGGCTGTCATCTTCCTCTCCGAGGATGAAGCGGATGCGCTCGGCGGCGGGGGAGACTGCAGAGGTGAAAATACTGCGGTTAACGGCCTGCGAGATGACCAGGGACGTGCGGCTCCTCTCCTTGCCCTGCTCCCCAAGGCCATTCAGCTGCTTCTCCAGGCTGCCTCTGCCATCTGACATCCTCGTCGCTGCGGACGCAGGCACGGGAGCGAGGGTGCCTCTATCTCCCTCTCTCCCCTTCCTTGTCTCTCACTGAACTTCTTACAAGTTCAAGCTGGGAGTAAAGTTCAGGAAAACTTGTCTCTTCCTACAGACCTTAACTATGTTACAGCAATTTGCAGTCCTTGTGAAAAAAAAGCACCATGGAGCTCAGAACCAATGTGCTCTGTGGCGCTGCCCGAGGACCTGCCGCTCTCTGAGCAGCCCGGATCCTTCACCCCCTTTTTTATATGACCTAAAACCAGTTCCAGCCAAACCAATTGGGGGCTTGCTGGCACAGCATCCCACTGCTGGCTTTCCCCTCCCTCCCTGCCAGCCAGGTTTGGGCTGCCATTGGCCTGCAAGGCAGGCTGGAACCTCCCCAGCCCACCACTGGAAAGCACAGGAATACTTAACAGTAGGGTTGTCTCCTCTATACATGAAGAATGCAACCCAATGCATTTAGTCAGGCACCAATGCACTGAAAAAAAACAACTGGTCCCGGTTGGAAAAGACTTCAACACACAGCACAAGCAAGGCCTGTTTGCATTATAAGCTCAAGAAAAAGGACAAAAACCCTTTCCTTGTTAAGGGTTCAAAACTCAAACCTCACAACATCACTGTCCCCATCCTCGCAAGGCCCGAGGGCATTGCCTAAAGCTAAATGGAGCCCACAGTATCAGAGTCACCTTGCTGGAGGGCTCCTTGGGGTCCACAGCCTTTTTCTCAGCATATCACCTTAAAACAAAGGTGTGACCATGTGAAATTTTAAGACTGACATCCTTTCTGCTGGGTGTTTATCAGCATTAGAGATATACAGCAGACTATGAACTTTGAACAGTTCTGCTAAAAACTCATTTCTTTTCAAAAGATCAGCTGGCTGTCTCTTGCAAAATAATTAATTACATCAGGTGTCCAACCACATTGATTTTTCCAGGGTAAACAGACTCAGTTTGCAACAGGAAAAAAGAAACCAGTAAAAAACATGCCCTTTACTCCTTTTTCTTTTCCTTAAATAAACTTTGATAGCTTTCTTCCTAAATTACTCAGAGTGATGATGCTTCAGTGATATAGATTTCCCTTTGACTGAAAGTATATTTGTAATCATAAATGCACTTGGAATCTCCTGGGAGCCAAGGACCTTGCCCTGCTACTACAGCAGCCTCCCCATCACGAGGCATTCAACTTCCTGCAGGCTTCAGGAGAGCTGGAGAGAGACTTCTGACTGGGCCTGGACTGGCAGGACAAGGGGGAATGGCTTCCCACTGACACAGGGCAGGGTTACATGGGATATCGAGAAGAAATCCTTCCCTATGAGGGTGGGCAGGCCCTGGTACAGCTTGCCCAGAGAAGCTGTGGCTGCCCCATCCCTGGCAGCATCCAAGGCCAGGCTGAATGGGGCTTGGGGCAACCTGGGTTAGTGGAAGGTGTTCCTGCCCATGGCAGGGGACTGGGGATGCCAGACTATCCATCCATATCATGCATGTTCCATTGTCTTCTCCCTTTACCTGCACTAATGAATCTCAATATACTTTTATATTCAAATAGAATTCAAATATCACAGCTAGAAAACAAATAAAACACACATCCATCTTACTGCTTCAAAAAGCCAGGTGGACCACAGAAGAGGCTGCTGCTTGGGAGAGGCTGTAAGAGAGGGGACTGCAGAGCTTCTTGAGCTGTTGAAGGCATCCACTGGAACCAGTGGGAACAGTCTCTCTGGAGTCACTCTGAAGTGGTTTTACTATACAGAACATCACAGTGACATTCCCAGCCATGGCATGATCACTGCACACCGAGCCTGGGTGCCCACTGTCTGTCACCCCCTCTCTCTTGCCTGCCCCCTCTCTCTCCCTGTAGCTCACTTCCAGTTATCCACACTTAGGGCCCATGATAAGGCTCACAGCCCCATTAGGGCACTTGCTGGGTCACAGGTCCCGATGCTCGCCTGACCACGCGTTCTTTATTGCCATCTGTGGGTTAATGGGCCGTTGATGGGTTGTTTATGCGCTCCCTTTAGCAGGGAGAACATATTTTCACCCTAATCTCCAGGCGAACACTGTGTGCTCGGCGTGGGCAGTTGGCTGAGCCCCGGGCTGAGGGACTGGAGAGTCATTAACCCGGGGGGTGACCCCTCAGCCCTCTGTCTGCTCGACCTTTGAGCACCACCTCGCCAGCCTTGGCCATCACCTTCGCTTCCACCTCTCCCTTCCAGCTCGGGAGCTGCTCAAACCACACTGCTGGCGCCAGAAACGGCTCAGGCTGCTCAATGCTGTGCTCCTTGCTGTCTTCTTCAAGAGATCAACCTGATGGCCAGCAGACATTTGCAGAAGAGAAAAGGCTAATCCACAAATTTAGATGGCCGGGGTTATATTTTTCCCCTGAATGGGAGAGGAATTAACACATTAATTGCAGAGTTCCAACACAACACAGATACAGAGGCAATGCCATCCATGGGGATGTCTCTCACTTGCCTCTCTTCCCTTTCCAGTTCCATTCAGCCACACACAGTCTGTGAGGCAGCTTATAAAATGGTAACTTGCACAGAGCAAACACATCAGCAGTTTCTCCAAGTTCAGCTCAGGCCAGTTCTGAGCACAATGTATACCCTCGGGGTCCCAAAGGCAAAAATCAATCTCCATCAAGAGAGAGGAATCTCAGGGAGTTCAGAAACAGGGAGAGACACATTCTAGCACAACAACGTCAAATGGGGCATGGCTGAGCTTCCCAGCCCTGCTCCAGCAATGGCTTTGGTGGCAGCCGTCCCTCACTGCCTGGTGCAGTGGCACAGCCACACATGGAAATGCCAGGGGGATTGATGGCACTGGCCCCTATCCTAAAGTCACCTCCCGCTTCAGTGCCGAGGGCCTGGTTGGTGGTGGGTGCAAAGCAGGTTCAGCCTGGCTCTCTGAATGTACAGTGCTGCCTCAGGATGGAGGACAGGGGTATCTGTGTTGACGTACAAGTTAAACAGCCTGTTCTCCACTCAGCCAACATGCTTTCCCTCCTGCCTTTTCAGCTGGCTGTTATCAGGGACACTTCTGAAGACCCTGGGGACCTGCACCTCAGTCAACTGCTTCCTCCATCCGAGATTGAGGGGACCATCAGACTAAGTTCTCTGTTGCTTCCCAGTGCGTTGGCAGCTACAAAAATCCCCGAGAGACCTGGTGCAAATCCCTCCCCAGAGCCTGTGGAACCAGTATCAAGGAAAGCTGTTTGTCAAATGTGCTTTCCAGGCAGCCTTATTAAAATAGGACATGATTGCACTGCCATTCCTTTCTGGGGCTGCCCTCCCTCTGCCAAAGCCCAGGTCAAACCCATCCACAGTCAGAGCAGTGACACACTTGTACAGACACCTGTAACAGATTTAAATTTGTTTCCTTTCCAGTTCAGCTGACTTCCCTTCCAAAATTCTCCATTACCAAAACAAATTTTAACTGTGTCACTGTCAACCCAAGACACCAGCTAAAAACATGTGGGGAGGCTTTGGTGACCCACAGTCCCACCAGCTTCCTTTACAGACAAACCTGAACAGAATGCCACCAAAAACCAGGAGATGCTGAAAACAATCACCTGGGACATCCAACGCACTGGGCCAAGGCCACAGGGTAAGACAAGAGATGCTCTCCTGCTTTACCAGCAGTACTGTCCAGCACTTGTGGAGCACACAGACCCTCCACGCCATTCCTGCACCTTTACAGGTAAGAACTGTTATTTCCTTTATGGAAGGGAGAACAATCTCTTCAGGTAACACCAGTTTCTGCAGAACAGCCCAGGTGAGAACTGATTTCCTGATTCCCCAAGTGCTCCACCAAGCACAAGCATCCCTGAGCACCACCAAAGAAGCCGAGTGCACACGGATTTACACGTGACACCTGCTTCTGGAAAGACTGCTCTGAGTTTTTGGGAACACTGCTCCGAGGCCACATGCTGGCCTTTCCCAGGGTCCCACAGAAGCAGCCCTGGGTGATCTGCTCCCCAGCTAATCACTCTCAGCAAGCGTGAGAATGTCTCCTTGCTTGTTTTGCGTCTTTGCTTATGAACGGTTACTTTCTGACCCCGTTCTGGGGCGGGCTGGCTGTGAGGCAGATTAGACTTTCCACAGGCAGGATTTGGCAGCCAGGAGGGAATTCTCCCCACAGTACCTGGATCTCACCCCAGGCCACTTCTTGCACAACTGTGGGGTGCAGAGAATGCTATTTGAGGTGCTCAATCTAATTGGAGCAAATCTACCCTATCCTTTCAGAGTGTCCCTTCCCAGACACAATGAACAGCACTGACTGCCTCTGGAATAATCCATTTTTTGCTGGGCTTTTGGACTGCATGATAGTACGTGTTTTGCTGTGAATTCCTCTGCAGCATGTGGCATATATTAAGTGTTTGATCTGCAAAAAATCTTCAGTGTTGGACAAATTCTTACTAATACTGTGCTCTCTCAAGTGCCATAAGAACAGCAGCATTTATGTAACACCTTGCTGGGCATTCCCAGCTCCCTTGGTCTTTGGTGCTGTGCCTACAGACATTTCGTTAGAACATTCCTTGGAGATGCAGGGAGAGAAAAAGGACCCTTCTTCCCAAAATGTTTCACATCAACTCCTCTATGGATGCAATGGGAACAATCAGTCTGGGAAACCTCTAAACAAACCCAGGACTATCTCATGAAAATTTGGTGAGCCTTACCCTAAAAGGCAATTCCTATAAAAGAAGGCAGCCTGCCAATTCCATCCACATGGCTGTGATGAGAGACCACCACATGCTATATCCCAAGTCCCCTGATGATCTTTTTCCAGCACTGCTGCACTCGAGGGAGACTCTGCCTTCAAAGACTGTTTTTCCCAGCTGCAGACAAACCCAGTAA